ACGAACATAGTGTGCTGACTCCGCATCCCGAATATCCAGATGCTTCGCCGGCCTCGGCTCAATGCCTGCATCGGCGAAGACGCTCATCAGGCGTCGGATCGCGCACTGGCCAAGCACGTGCGGATCCAAATCGCCGTCGTCCCTGCATGGGCAATGCTGAATCTTCTGCCACAGCTGTCCACCATAGTTCTCCCAGGCGCGTCGTGGGCCGCAGTGGTTGAGGGGTGCCGCGATGCCATGCAGACTTCTGATTGCATTTACCAGATCACGGAATCACCTGCCATGAAGTTGGTTCGATGTGAGTTTGATAAAGGCACTGTCTGGATTCATGAAGCATCTAGATATTGCGATGGAGTGGCGATGACAGAGCCTACACTGCTCTGAGCTTTTGAAAGGATAAAACTCTAGGTGAAGATTGACTGAATGTCAGTCAGTGTTTAGAGACATTCTCATTGAACAGACTGTGCCCAAAAATTGGGGCCGGCATTGAAAATCCATTTAGCAGACAATGGCTTGACCGCATATGGTATTGATAATCATACTATATTGTAAATTTGATGGACTTTGCTGCGACACGCAAGAAATGACTAATACCATGGTGAATGAGAGAGGATATGATGAGGCACACATAGAACCACAAACATTAGGAGTCAAGTCAATGCCCAGGCTTAGTTGTCCGTGGATCCGAAAGTGCTAAATGAATGCAGGACAAAGTGATGTTGCAGTATCAGTGTATATTGTGTAACAGTGCATTACTGGAGCAGTATGATCCATGCATGGAGAAATGACAAATTTGGGAAGCCACACTCATGCGTACTGTCATACCTGATAAAAGAAACATCTGGTAAGACGTTCATGGATGTTATGTCCCTGTAAGTGCCAGTCGAGCTTTGTTCACTATGGCCAGTCCCAAAGACATGGCAAGAAACATGAGGCGATGTGGTCTTACTGACGTCTATCAATGCCACATAAGTCGCCGTGTATGCTCTCGAGCTCAAAGTGCTTGGATTTCATGATCGGTGAATTTGGTCTAAGGAGAACTGGAGGCGTAATGCAATCATATTCACCCTCTGCGCCGAGCGTCGTCGATCCGTTATTGAATACATAGCATTGCGGTTATTGAATACCTATGGTCGACTGAGCTACAGTTTTGACATGATTCGTACGCAAAATGATGGAGTCCATGCGTTTTTTAGGCAAATGAGCCTGCATGCTCCCTGGCTAGTGGATGCTAGTGTGATGCAATGTGCAGAGAGCTAAAGCACGATGCGAACCGAATGCAGCTCAGCTCTGCGATTTCGCTGGCTAGCGCAAAGTACCTTCTTCATTTCTCTGTCAGTCAGAAGATATTGCAGATGTGGCGCGCTTCATGGCTCACGTGGAAGTTGAGTCGAAGCCCTGTCACAGAGCTATGCGCCTCGGTCATTGAGAGCTCTTTCTGGTTTGCGAGCCATGCTGACACCGCGATCCTGAAAGTGACGGATTGGCTTCACTCCAGCCATCAGAAAAAATATTTCATGGAGGGGGAGCTGCGCCAGAATCTTCTACGTGTGCGCATTGCCTTCTATGAGTCTCCAAGTAAGAGACCTCATAACGTTGAATGGAGTTGCGTAGCGGCGTCCAGACTCGTAAGCGTCCTCGAAACAGTATTTTCGGACGGCGTGGCCGAGATCTCACCTTCTCCGCCTTCTCCTCTTTTGCCAGGACGGCCAGCAGGCCAGCGGGCGGCCCCGGATCTCCGCGCCTGTGGGGCCCATCTGCCTGACCTGCCTGGCCCACCTCGCTGGATGCTGGAGGCGCGTTGGCCAGAACCGCCAAATTCTCCTGCAAAGGCCCGTCCCCAATCACAAGCCGCCCGCGGCCTCCAAGAAGGCGCTGCGCGCGGAGCGACACAGCCGGGCGCAAAGGCAAGTGTGCCGCGCGCAGTCGCACCTCGTCGCCATGCGGCTTCGACCTGCCCTTGGGGCGGGACGTCCCGCCTGGCCCCTTGGGGCCAGAAGTTGGCCTCAGGGGACCGGCCTTTTTGGGCCGATCCACGCGGCCCGCACGACCGGGCACCTCCCGCTGCGCCTTCGGCGGGGATCTCTTGCGGGAGGGCCGGCTCGCCGGAGGGGCCGCCAGTCGCGGCCTGGGGCACGGGGCCCCGATGGGCGGGTCGTCAGGGTGATCCTTGGCGGCAGATTCCATCGCGGAATCAAAGCTCGCCTGCACGCGACGGCGCCAGGCCAACCTGGATCGTCGCCGCGGGGGTGCTCGGGGGTCAGAGCGTGGGGGGACTGCAGTGCGCTCGGTGCGCGGGGGTCTGTGCCTCGTCCGTCGGGAGAGGCAAAGGTGGGCCGGGGGGCGCAGCGGCTCTTGGGGACGCAGGTGCCAGATACGACATGCCCCGTCAGCAGCATGCGTCATCGCCGATGTGTTAAGGCACTATACTGCACTTGGAATACAAGGATGTTATGATGATCAGCCTCGCATCCCTGTGGTTGCAGCGCATCGAGGGGCCTGCATCATCAACAATACACAAAGGCCCCCTGGCCGAACGGAAGAGTACTACTTTATTATTGCAGCAGCAGGCGCACGGCAGCTCCAGCTGCCAGCAACTCGCCGCCCTTTCTCTGAACAACCCTGACAAATTGAATGACACAGCAAGAAATGCAGGGCCAAACCCCTCCTTGCAAGACATCCCACACAGATTGCACATGACCATTCTCACGCACAACACTCCAGCACTCCCGGCCTGATGCCCCAGCACCTGCCCTCCCACCCGCCGCCCTCGACTCCACAGTGCCGCGTCTGCAGCGAGGAGCCTCCCACGGACAGACGCTGACTGGGCCAAATCGTGCGGCATCAATGAGCGGCCTCACCCCAGCAGTGGCGTGACACTCTTCCCACGGCTGTCCACATATCCGCTCAGGCGCGCTGGGCGACAAAGTGGAATGAGGCGTTGTGCGCGCATGCAGACATGCAGACTTCTTGTGTTTCCATGATCACGGAATTCCTGCACAGCAAGCAAGATTAGAGTCAGATTGGTAATGTCAGTAGCATTAAAGAGACTCTGGGATTCGATCAATTGATATGCATGCAATGTCAAGGAGTGGCTGTGATGACGACTGCCACACGCCTTGGCATGTTGAAAGTACAAGGCCTGCAGCCTGGTGAAGCAAACTTGCCAACTTTGTGGGAGACATTCTGATTCAGTAGAAATGTCCCCAGATCTGACTGCTTCAGCATCTTGCTGGCCAGCAAGCACCTGCAACACAAAGTCGACACTGTTGCAAGCCCAATCTCAACAAGGCAGTTGAGCAATATGAATATGGATTTGGGCACAATAACAGCAGTGGAAACTACTACAATGGAACTGCAACTGAAACATAAGCACAACAGCCAAAATCAGCCGCCAATGCACCACCAACGACTTGTCAATGTGGCAGCTGTAATATATTTATCAGCCTGCCTCAACAATGGAACTGCAACTGTGCCACCATCCCCAGGATGAAACCATAACAACGGAGTGTATTTACAAAACAAACGATGGCACATACAATAAACGATAAGTAGTGAGCAAAAGCAGATACATGATCAATGACATACACAATACAAGACGTCAGACTGCGCTGTCACCTGAAAGCAGCAGGCAAAAGGGGTGGCACAGGAGTATGTATGGGTTCAGTGTGCACAGACAGCAACACCTTCTTTCTTCGCACCAAGACACTGCTGAAGTGCCACAGAAGGGTACCTTGGTACTCTGGTACTGTGCTTCAGTACTTGGTAATACAGTATTCATAGCATGTACAAGGCTGAATTCTTGCATACCTCTCTGCTTTCTGGAGGAGGAGCCATCTGGATTCTGACACTGGCACTGCAATCTGTTCCATGCTGGCAACACTATTGCTTAATTAATTTCTGGGGACAGGTTTCGCCTATTCTGACTCCAGAAATCGCTCCATTCTTGCAGTACAAATTGCCGAATTTGCATCTCATGCAGGATGCACAGCAGTACTCGCACAAGGCATGCGCTACGATGCACTGAGGACCTACACTGCAATACAAAACTGCAGAACTGTGACTGACGATCCTCAGGGATTACCACATCTGTCTGGTGACTACTCAGGAGGCTGCTAAACTGGGCCCATGGCTGCAGCTTGCACAGCCAAATTGAAGCACTGCCTGGAGGCGACAGCTGTGTCGTCCACCAACTGTGAAGCCATTGACTTGCTCTATTTTGGCGGATGGGATCAAAACACGAACTTGGAAAGAAACACATGGAGTAGTGAAAACAACAAAAACCAACTTACTAAAAGCTGACCTGCAGGAAGGCAGCTGCCACACTGGCGCATGCATCCGTTTCTGACGGCAGATGTGCTTTGCTGTCAAGCGCCCTCTTAGGATAGTGCTGTCATCGGAAGTATGCCTTGCTTCTGCCCACACACAACACATCGGATCCTCAACAATCTGCCATGAACAACACACTTTCCAGACTGTCATTCACATTCCTCTGCGTGAGCAGCAACACAACCTTGACACACAGCTCAGTGCCACTCAGTATCTGTTCACACGGTGACCATGATCATGACATTCAAGCATCGTTTGCGTGCCTGCAACTTACAAAAGTTGGTTGTTTGTGTGCCGCGTCCTGAGCACACATTTCTCCTTGTCATTGTCATGTGTTTGTGTTGGAGGCCCCAACCCGAGCGCCTGCCGATAGGCACTACACAGCCAGCCCTCTCCACATCGTGCTGCTGGTGTTGCTGGCTGCCACCTGGCGTGGTGTGGTAAGACATGCTGCAGCAAGGGTAAAGGCGTACACAGCGAGAATTTAGATTTAGGTTCTAGGGCAAATTTTTATGTTCAGGGGCTAGGAGTGTTGCCACTGCAGGCTGGCTCATCTCATCTGCACTTAAGTGTTGACCTTGGCACACAAGCTGCATCAACATTTTGGTGTTGGTGGTGCACAGCCAGCCCACGTTCATTTTAGAACAGATTCACAAGACTTGCCCTGGAAATCATTGCTTTTCCTGCAATGGACTCATGCAAACAACACAACACTGGTGAAGCACTCTTGCTGCACTGATGCCCGTTTGCATGCAAATGTGATACAGGGCACCTGCACGTCCCAGTTCCATTGCCAGGGCATCCTCCACGGAACAGAGCTTACTCTGCCATAAACTGCGCAGCAGAAATTGAGCAAAGCCACGATCCCTAAAAGTGCCTCGGGGTGCTTGTGCTGCTATTTGACCACTCTCTACATGTATTGCAGGATGGTGGCGAGTGGACATACGAGCGAGAGAACACGTTTTGGGATACATGAATGCCTCGCATCGCATGGGGCGGAAGTGCTTAACTTTGTCCATTTCAGAAAAATTTCAACAAAGGATTGAACTTTTCGCCTCGAGCAAGAACAGGTGGATGGGAACTCAGTTGACCACACTGACGCCTGGCTGACACAAGCAGACGCTCACCAGCCACTGTCCGCCTTCCCCTTTCCGTCCAACGCCGACAATTGCACAGCGCTCTGCCAGTCAAAGGGAGAACGAGTGTCTTGCGCAAACGCGTGTGCCCGGGCTGTTCACTTGCGAACAGCCCGTTCTGCCGCCGCCGTTCGGGATCGCCCAGCCAGCCCCTGGAGCAAGCCGCGCAGACCCCAAATCCATCAATGCGGGCCCACAAACCAAGAAGCGTTGCATCGCAGAAGCCCGCAGCCATCGGATGGCGAGCACCGGCCAACCTTGGGAGCGGCCGACCAACGAGGCGGCGGATCTCCCAACGCGCGCTGCCGCCACGACGCTTTCCAGGGAGCCACCCCGAGCAAGGCGACACCGGGCGGCATTGCCGCTCCTGGGCAGCGCATGGAGAACATCCAGCGAGTGTGTGCCAGCTTTGCTCGCGGCAACTTGAAACTTTGAGCGATGTCGCGAGGCTTTTCCGCAGAGCAAGTACCGCCCAACGCTGCAGCTATCACAGAACTGCACAGATGAAATCAAACAACTTTCTGATCGTGTTATGGTGGCTAAAGCAAGTCGTGAATGCTTGGAGACACAAATCAAACGTCAAAGCAAGATCCTTCGTTAGGAAACGATATTTACACTCAAAAAACCTGTGTTCACTGCATTTCCTTCTTTGCCACAAATTATCGCTGCTCTGGAGATCCGAAGCATCAAAAACAAATGAAAAGGGCAGATGACCAATGGGTTGACGCAGAAAGGACTATCCCGTTCACGTCGGAATAGATGCATCCGGATACACGTGGAATAGGATATGGGCGCCATTTCATGGGGTGCGGTGAGCGTATGGGCGAGGATACGGCCATCTTCCAGGATACAAGCGCCCATCTCCTGGGAAATGGCCAATCCTGGATATGTGTATCCAGGATATGGAATTCTTTCCCGACGTGGGAGGTGTGAGGGGGTGGGGGTGATGACGATGAGCCCAGCGTTCTGCCAGCTATCAACTACGAAGTATGTTCCTGGCAGCCGGAGTCCTGGCATCTTTGGGACCATTTGCTTACAATGCGGGTTCGATCGTGGGTCAAGCGATCTGTGGATTGGTCCACAGTTCTGGTGTACTACACTTGCGGAGTGCCGAGACTTGATTTCATACGCATAGTCATGGCGGTCGTCTTCGAGGTCGGCGGGAAGCATTCTACCTGACGCTATTAGAAAAACAGGCCAGATGACACAGTCTTGACACTGTCTGCTCACAATCAACTGTGCGGCTTTTGGGACCACATTTGCCGAAAGCACACAGTTGGATTTTGAGCAGACCGTGTCAAGACTTCGTCATCTGACCTGTGTTTTTACTAGTGCGAGGGGTTTCCCACGAGCACAAACTATCTTCAAGATTAGGACACGTTGACTGTGTCCTTGAGGTTATTTCATGGCATATGGCCATCCAGTGTTTGGTGACAATTCGGATGATCGTTGAGGAAAACGGTTACTGCAGCTGTCGCAGACTCTGATCACTGCGAGTATTACTCTGTGTGAGGGAAAACGTTGCACATAAAAACGGTGAAATTCCCCAAGAACTTTGGATTGGTAGACTGGCAGAGCATTAGCAGTACCTCCGCTCTTATAGCATCGTGCTGAGGGCTACCGCCAAGGGCGCAGACGCCTCAAACGGGTCCACAGTTCTTAAACCATGCCAGGACGGGTCGAAAAGAGGCACAACGTTGGCAGCACCGTGGCAAGACCACCGCCCACTTTCCCAAGGGTTGGGAAGTTTGATGCACTGAGTACCAATTCGCTAAGCGTGGATTTTGATAAGCGAACTAGCTAGTGTGTTGAATCAGCGGCAGAATTAAAGAAGGCTTTACGCTGCACATACAATAGACATAGACCGTGCTGTGTGCATCTCATGTCCTTAGGTGCGTTTGGGGGTACATATGTTTTATGCCCATTTCCAGCTCATCTCATGGCCGAAGAGCTGCCGAAGAAAATCCATGCTGCAAATGAAGCAATCGCACAATGGGTGTCCTCATTGAACATGGCTGCCAGTTTGTACACAATGCCGGGCATTTAGCAAAGGTCGTCAATGCACAGTGTTCGGGGCGCCAATTAACATAGAAAGATTGCATTATGGAGACAGCCCCTTTAGTAGGGCTCAGCTGGCGCCCCGTGAGGCCCAGAGCAAGTGGCAAGTAGCCCAGAACCGGTCCAGGATGACCCAGAACACCAACGACACCACCTTCCCAACACCAGGACGACGTCACAGGGGACCCAGGACGCGCTGGGAAGCCACAGGACCTGCCAGTATAGCCACAGTAGCCCTGAAGCAAGCTGGAAGCACTGTCCAATGCGGCTGGCAATGTACAGAAACCCACGCAACACCATGGAAGCACCAGCGGGACACCGCTCGCCGCAAAGTACTGGCGCTCTACCCGTCACCCCTTTGCCGACTGGAACGTCTTGAAAACCCACGCGCGTGCATCAAAGCCAGGCCCAGTGGCTCAGAGGGACACGGCGAGGAGCTCCACGACAAAAAATCAGAGCAATGCCCAGTGATCGCATCGCGCGACCGATGGCCAGCCACGGGGCTGCGGGAGGCCCATGCCATCCATCCGGCCGGGATGCCGATCTCGGTGGAGCGGACGAAATGTAGCTGGGGAAAAACACGGGCAAGGGAGATGCCTTGCGGCCTGCCTGGATAGGATGCAAGCGGAAGGCAAGAATACAGAATGCCCCGGGATCCCATGCGACCGAATGCGGGGCACCGCGAACGGCCATGACTCACGGAGCCGTACGGTTGATCTTTGCGCTCCGGAGGGAAAGTGACCCGGCAGGATTATGGAGAGGGGGGGTGGCTCCCGACCTGCACGGGGAGTTTGGTCGCGGGAGCTCGGGGGAGTGAACGCGCCGCTCCGGAAGGCCGGTGGGGCGCGGGGGCTGAGCGGAGCTGGGGGGGCCCGCGTCGGGGGAGCAAAAGGGTGTACCGCCGACAGCTGACTCAGCCTGGCACCCGTGGGGCTGACGGGGAGGCCAGTATCGGGCAGTATCGGGCGCGCATCGGGCGCCATCAAGCGGGCCCTGTAGTTCGGGACCCCTGACGGCTGCTGAAAGAGCGAAAGAGCTGCGACTTGGTTTTGCAGCACATTTATGAACCCATTAGCGCCAATTTTGGTCATTGTATTTATCTGAGAATTTCTATGTACTCAGTGGACGATTTGTAATGCATGGGTACCAATTTCAGGACTTTCTGACCAGTCCTGAATTAGTTAGAGTTTTCATCCGGGGACCAAATTTGAGCCCCAGGGACCCAGCGGCCAAGGAGATACAGGAAATTGCATCTCAAGAATTGGATTCTAAGTGGGAAGCTGAGGGAGGAATAATCTCAAACTTTGGGACATAATAATACGCTCTGTCCTCTATCCGATGAGGGTAAGAACGTGTTACTTGGATAAGAATTGGCGTAGATAGGGGTTTTCCCCTTGGCAGGTCCTGGACGGACATAGTATTTGTAGTGAGTGTGTTAAGTGGGTATTGGCCTGTCTGGAGCGTCCAGCATGGCTGTCTTCAGAGCCAAAAAACCAAGGTTGCAAGCTCTTTTGAGAGAGCAAAGGGAGCTGTGCGAGCTTCCACCGGGCTTGCCATCCCAACATAGCATGCTGCCTTGTATTATGGATGCAATGGTGGGCTTCGAACGAGAGAACGAGAACTGGACACGGCAAGAGCATTGCAGCAGATACGGCTGGAGATACGCCTCTGGTTGTTGAATAGAACGAGGCCAGAACTGGTTGAGCGGCCCGCACAAGCTTCGCGACACCCTCAAGTCAGTCGGCTGGCCGGGTTAGAAGCTAGTTTGGGAGTCGGACGGGTAGGCTAGGGGGGGCTGCGCGTTCCCATAGGCCACCATGGCTGTTTGAAATGGGGTCGCATTTCAAACGCGTGACTGGACTTTGACAAGTGACGTGGTGTTTATATAACCATGTCTGACGCGCTCACAGCCACGTGGTCGGACTGGACTCGGCGAGCAGTACGTACGTGAAAGGAGGGGGTCGTTCTGGTGTCTCTTCCATTGCCATGCTAGTAGGGTGGGCTCCCATTTGAACAGCGGTCGAAGGATTCGATGATCAGTACGTTGAAAGTGCGTCGACTCTGTGTAGAGGCTTTCTGATAATGATTATGGAAGAAAGAAATAATGCAACCTGATATATCTGGATACTGTTATGTACCTTAGAGCCATGAGGCCGTTTTTGTAACTGTTTTCTAAAGAAGCGTCCATATACTATACGCGCATCCAATGCACTAGCGTATGCCATGAAGGCACATTGAATTGAAATGGGATTCCAAAGATCGCCATTGGTGTGCACCTGCAAATGCTGTAGAAGGCTTTGCAAGATGATATCAAAAGCGCACGTTAATGGCCAAAACGCGTCCACGTTTATGCGCCTTGTTATGTATTGCAGTTTTTCAATTGCATTAAAGAGATCAGAAATACGAATCACAGTCAGGAAATGCCTCTTTGGCACTCTCGGGTTGGGTGCAGTGTAGACAGGAGCCCGAAATCCTGACCCAGATAATATTGCCCATGTATAAATAGCCGTTTGCAACAGTATATGCGCTTGATCATATCATATGCTGGCTTCGAATATTGGTCAAGCTTTTTGCTTCGAAAATCGACAAAGCGACAGCAACGTGCTTGCTTGTAATTATGTCGTCAGCGGGAGCCCGTTGCAGGTTTGGCCTCATCTAGTCTATGCCTCACCTGAATCGGCCACTTGGGTACGCTAAAGTCGTTCAAATGTGGCCTCAAGAATTGGCCTATGCCACACGACCTTCGTATGTGTGGATTAATCATCCCAGTATGGGGTAATTACCCCAGCTAGCCGACGCCCCCCTCCCCTTATCCAACTCCCAGGGGCACAGGCCAGTGCCCCTGCTCCAGCTGGAGCACGGGAAGGGACTTAGTCGACTTGCGCTGCTTATTGCACTCCGGAAGGGGTATCGCTTGGAGAACATCCAGTGAGTGTGCCAGCTCCGTTCGCGGCGACTGGAAACTTTGAGCGATGCCACGAGGCTTTCCAGGCACCTGAAAAAAAATTACAAAGATGAATAGCGTCCAATGCTGAAACTATCACACAACTTTAATTACTTGCGGCTCTGTCAATGGGGATAAATTCTGCAAGCACGGTAAGGGAATGCTCTTTTTGTTCAGTGTCCCTCCTGGCGCAAAACTCAATGCACATGAAACACAGGCACTCTCTGAATATTGGCAGATGCATTGGAATGGTGTCCTTCGCTGAGAACCGTCATGCGAGAGCAAATGCATTTGCGCACGCCTTAGTTTGCAGATTTTCAGTGTTGCCAATGCACCAAGAACGCACTTGCAAGCATGTGTGTTGTCAACGAGAGCCAACATCTGGCTATGTTCTTCCAAGCACTGAAGAGCCATCATATCTCATCAAGTGCGCCCTCTTCTGAGCTGTTACAGCAATGAACGTGACTTAAAGAAAGGCGGCAGCCAACGGCAGAAGACAGCCCTGTCGGATGCAGTTTCGGGCAGTCCAATGGGGGAACGATGAACACGGCTGTTGGCACGGACAACTATCAGCCCCTTCATCAGAACAATCGCGCAGATGATGCGACTGGAAACAGACCGCTTCTGGGCTGAAGCTAAATTTTCGCTCCCCAAAATTGCAGCAGCACATAGCGTATAATTTTTTATAAATAGCAAACCATGGCGCCCTTTCTTCAGAAAGCGTGTAAGAATACGGTCGCGGTTTCGCAAAAGGCATTGGGTGTAACAATTGCGCCAACCTCAACCACGCCTCGAGCTGAAGCCACGCAAGCTTGATGCGCTGCAAGCAGTCAAATTCAGCTGAAATGCACTCCCTGTGTCCCAAATTCGCCTAATATGGATTTTTATGGGCGAATCAAGTAGGGTGTTGACTCAGCGGCAGAATTAAAGACGGCTCTGCGTGGCACATACAGTAGACATAGACCGTGCTGTGTGCATCTCATCTCCTTAGGTGCGGTTGTGGGTATATGTGTTTTATGATCACGTCCAGCTCACCTTATAGCGAAAGCAGGACAAGCAAGATCTGCCGCGAAGATAATCCATGCTGCAAATGAAGCAATCGCACAATTGGTGATCGCACTCCTTGATCGAGGATATGGCTGCTAGTTTGTACGGACTACACCGGACATTTAGCAAAGGTCGTCAATGCGAAGTGTGTTGCATTCCATCACGCTTGAGCGGCCCCCCTGCCGCAACGCCACCGAGAGATGGCAACACCGAGTACGGGAGGTACGCTGTCGGGTCGCACCACGGAGGCGGGCCTGGAGTCTGTAACGACAGGTGCGCCTGACGAGACCTTGCGTGGCATCGCACTCTGTGACAGAATCCCAGCATCGCTCATTTTGTGCTGCCTTGATTGCTGCCACTCCAAAGTGGTGGTCCATTCCCGCCCCGCCGCCTTTGCGCCAGCTGCTCTAGTTCTCGAAAATGGGTCTCATCGTCATCGCCCTTGCTGTCTGCGATCCCGCGGCCAACAACTCCTCCGTGGAGCTCTCGGTCCGGCTGGCCAATCGCAAATGAAGCACTGCCACGCACGCTCGCTTGTAGGTGCGGGCGCGGCGCAGTACCGTGCCGCGGATCGCAATTTGCCCCCGTCAGTCCGCCAACTGCCACCTCGCCGCGGACGTGTATGTGTGCGGACCTACTCCCCGTCTTGGAGAAGCGCCCGCCCGTCGTGAGTGGCGATTTCTGGCACTAGGAATGAGAAACTCGCATCGACGGGACGGCAACCATGAAGCCCCCACGCCGCCTGAATCGTTAGCTGTTTGAATTCGTGGAAGAGCCCGCCTTGCCGCAGCAGCCGTCCATTGGCCGCATGGCCCCAGCCGCTCACCCGGAGCCACTCTCACCAGTCTGCGCGATCGTTTGTGGTGCTCCGTACCTCCCGGGCCGCGCGTTCCGCCGCGAGAACGATGGCGCGAGGAGCCAGGACATTGAGCATGAGGGTGGCTGGGTGACGGTTCGCTGAGGTGGGACCCAGACAAGGCCCCAAAGACTCGTGTCATGACATTCTATTTTTCTCATAACGACCTCCTGAGGGCAGTGGACAAGCACCCTCACCACAAACTGTTGCCTGGTATCCACACAATCATGTGAAGCAAAATCGTGGTGCAAATAGGCAATTCAGTGCATCCCTTTCTTTGTTTCCCTTATTACAAAATGCTATATTAGTGTTTGTAACGGGCTGTGACGCATTCCTTAACACATGCAAACATCAAGGACTGGCAACAACACATGGCATTCCCCCCACCATTGGACATGTGCTGGTCGGCGGTTCCATAACGATTGCAGTCCAGGTTTGTGGAGTACTGACTGCCGGCGTTGTCGGATGTCTTTGCAGCTCGTCAGACAGTCTGTGTGTGGCTGAAGACAGGTCAACCCCCTTTTGTGTGTCGGGTGTCCACTGACCGAATCTGGAGGCAATTTGACAGTTCTGCCCTGTTGCGTGTCTTTAAGCATCAAATAGTTTTTTGCGTTCTTTGCACGTGTAAGTAGGCGTAAAATGCACAAGAGTGATCTGTGTACATAATACCATACATATTCCGGGGAGCGCCAACCAGAGGCGCTGGTGTGGGCTGAAAACGAATTTTGCGCGATGACGTCTATCCCATTGCCAAGAGCGAGGTGGACGCTGTGTTGCTGATGCTTGAGGGGACGGAGGACCCATCATTGTCAGGGACATCATCATGTAACCTAGGTGTGTCGGTGAGCCGTAAAACTGCATAAATATGGCCACCAAATGTCCATTTATCAGTTTATGCTTTCTTACAAAGTAAAATGCAAAACGTTGCCGTAGAAAGCAAGCCCTTTCTGACTCATGAGCTGCCTGGTGTGCACACGCCTTCCACGCAGTCCAGGCTAGTACGACGGACAGACCACAGCAGCTCGAGAGTTACAAAGTTCAGTGAATTTACATGATTAATTTCGCAAGGGATGCTGGGAAACCTAAGGCAGCGGCTGAGAGCTCAAAGAGACGACCACATCAGCTGTTCAGGCGCAGTTCAATAACCCGTCAAACCTCCCCCGACTCCTCCTATCACGGATTCTACATGCGCTGTGGGAAAGAAATAGTCATGGCATGGTCGAGCTATATGGCACAGCGCACGCCCCGCCCGAAGGTGACGTGCATACCTACGTAATGCTGATACACAACCCCCGCAGAGACCCAAGCATGGACACCCTCATGACTTCGTGGCTTTCTTGTGTCAATGCAGCGCTTCCGCCGTTATGCCGGCTTTTGCCACCACCTTCATAAACACCTGCTCCAGTGTTGCGCTGGTGACCGCCCAGTCGATGACCTGTTTGACAGCAGCGCCAATGTGGCGGCGAATTAACAAGCCCAAGGGCACAGAAAGCTGCGCATCTAAACGGGATGTTGAATCTCGCTTGATTGCCAGAATCTGTCAGCAAGCAAGCTAGAGATGCTCTGCAAAGGTATGGCACTGAAACGCCAGAGGAAATGACAGCAAAGAGCTTTCATAAGATGCGAGGCATCATGTGACTGACGATGAAAACATATGAGATATTTGGCTGATCGATTGGTTTATATTTGAACACGTTCTGACCTACAAATACACAATTTCAACCAGTGTGAAACCAAAGGTATTCTGCGCGAAATGGCCAATTCTTGCCGGAGAAAATTTGTACACAAGAGCTTCACTTTCCAGTGCAGTGCGCGCCGATTCATTGGCTTTGATGCACCAGCAATTCCACACAGGTCAATCTGCGTATTGATTGATTTGTTGCTCCATTATCGACTGATTTGTTCACGAGCGTGTTGGCCCGTTTTCGACCAATCTTTGGAGACTGGCGGACTGCTCAGCTTCTGGACGCGAGCCACATCCAACAATATGCGCACCTGAATTTGTGACTTGACATTCTCAGCGAAGAAAAACACCTCACTGATCTTCACTTCAGCGGTTGGAAGCTCGAAAATGAGAGTTCTGCTCACTTCATAAGCCAGCCGAGCGTTCCGGGTCAATTTCTGCGAGACCTGTTCCTTCGCCGTGTTGATGCAAGCCTTTGTGGTAGTGAGTGTGAAGATCTGAACACCACACACATTTTTGCTGAAGCGGCGATGAAAATAGTAATGGCGGTGGTGCAAAATTCCGCTCCGCTTTATACAGCAGGCAAAGGAAGCTTACTTTGCAGCTCTTTTTTTCTTTTCTTTTTCCACTTTCACGGGCGGGGAGAAATGGAATGGTGCCGCCTCTGATTAATATTTCTGAAGCACAGAGCTTCTGATAGCAATCTCCGCGACTGCATTTCGATCAGCTAAGCATACGACAACAGTCCACGATGAAAACTGTTGAACAAACAAATAGCACAGCTACCGAGGCCTCTTCAAGACCTTGCTGCAGATGTTTCGGAAACACCAGCACTCAGCCAGTATCACACTGGCATAGGTGCCACAATATCTATGTCAGCACAATGTTTGAGACACTGCTTAATTGACTTGGAGCTTGCGCAAAACTGCCGTAGTCGAGCAGAAGACCGCTAAACACAACCAAGGCGATGTTCGGAAGAAAAGCCATGCGAAGCGATTCCTGCAGGAATTGAGCATGATCCAGCATCATATTTACAATCCTTTCAAAAGCATGTGTTTCTAGGTCCGAAATAATCTTTCTCACCAGGTAGCCCCCGTGCCTCGATATCAGGCTCCTTGGGTTGCCAATGGCCACCAGGCTGCCGTTGACGATGAATCCCACCCGATCGCACAGCACCTCGGCCTCCTGCATACTGTGCGTCGTCAGTATGATGGCCTTCCCCTCTCTTGCCCTCTTCACAGTGTTCCACAGATTCCGGCGGGCGGCGATGTCCAGCCCCTGCACAAGACTGAACCACTCATGGACAAGCCACGGCGCAACAGCGTGTTGCTCTCCATCGCCCAGGCGATCTGCTTTCCACGTTTGCTGTTTCAACAACGATACAATCTTCTGGGAAAGTTGTATGCCGTGGGATAGGGATATGGGAGTGGGCTCTATCCTGGGATATGGCGAGGATGTGGGCAATTACATGGCCACCTCCCAACACATAGCGACCTTATCCTGGGCTTAAAAGTCTGATGCACTTCGCTTCCGCACGTGAGGTCGTGAAGGTCTTGAAGGCCATCAAGTAGTGAATGCCATGGCGGCCATGAAGCCGTGAAGGCCATTTCGTTTCTAGGGTGTTCACATTCTGGGGCGGTAAGTCTCTGGCACCGTTCGCGAAATGCGCGAGCCCTTCATTATCACTATGTCCTGAAGTGATAGGTACCCGACCATCCTCATCCCGGTATATGGTCCCCCATATCCCAGGACATGACCACATCCTGGCTTTGCATATCCAGGCCTGCCATTTCCTGTGCAAGCACAGCCTGGAATTACGTTATTTAATGCATTTGCGCAAAATACGTAATACAGGGTACGTTCACGGCGTAAACAACAAGTCTGTTTTTTTTCAGGATGTGTACCTTTCTTCCAACGATTGTTCACACCCCTTTTTCACGCACCGTGCTGGGCTCGTCGAGGTACGCGACGCTCGGGTCCCCAATCAGAGAGATCGCGACGCTGAGGCGCCGCCTCATGCCGCCGCTGTACGCCTTCACCAGTTTCTTTCCCGTGTCGCCGCCGAACAGGCGCACAGACTTCAAGGCAGCCACAACGGCCGTTTTCAAGCCGTCCCCACTGAGGCCCTTCAGGCGGCCGTAGAACTCAAGATGCTCAGCGGCTGCAGCCAAGCAACATCATAGGCTGAGTATTAGCTGTCAGTTATTAATATTAACAACAAACAGCGTGGTACGCACAACTGCATGGGTGGCCATGTTGGCTGCATAGACGCCGAAACTGACCGATCCACATGCCACTCTCGATCATCCCAAATTAAGAGATTCGTCCATGCACAGCGCCCCTGCTTTCATTTGTATACAGCGAAATAGGAGAAGTTCAAGTCACAGATGACTCCCACAGGAAAAGAACGAATAGCATACAAAAATAATGTAAGATGCTATTCAGCGCCCGATGGAATGAAAGGCAGCACCCACTGTTTGGAAGCACGCTCAAACGCTCGGGCAACTGCAAGGGAGCAAAGTACAATCGGTCAATCAATGCCACATTCTCGCGCTTCACTACAATAGAGTGAAGTGGAACGCCCAATAAAGTGGATCTTGTGTTTAGAATTGCGATGGTTCGTCGGAAAGGGCGCCCCGTGTGGCTTGGTGTGAAGCCTTCTTTCGCCGCGGAACAAAACACTTAAGATACCATGCATTAAAACAAAAGCTCTCTACCAGAACAGCAACGTGGAATCATGGGCGGTTCCATTCCTTAGTGAAAATTTTCCGCATGTCTTGCAACGTAGTGTTTGAGTACTGTCGCAGAGTTAATATTAACTGCGGTGTTACCTATACAGTTTGGGATACAGTGGCAATAATTATGCATTTAATAGTAACTATCAATTTATAATAGTGCCCATCGTTGCAATTAACAGTACAACCCGGTATTTAAATTTTCTGTGTATGTCGGTGTTTGAGTTGCTTAAATCACAAATTCTCCCACTCGCCTGTGAGCGTATCCCACAGCAGATTCTGTTGGGGGCAGACACCCATCATGTCGTAGATGAGGTGCATGGACTTCCTGATATTCAGGCCGCCCACGAGCGCCGATCCAGACGTGGGCGTCGTGTACCCCACCAGCATGTTGACGGCGGTTGTCTTGCCGGCGCCATTCGGACCCAACAGGCCAAACACCTCTCCTTTGCGAACTGTCATGTAAAGGTCTTTGACAGCAACCTGTCGCGCGGCAGACAACGCGCAGCAAGTGAGGTGCAGAACATTGAGGACCATCCAAGTACAATAATGCATCGATAGTCGCTTCGGCATTAGGAAGTTGCTGTCGATTATCTGTGGCCACCTGATAGTTGATTCCATATGTATTTGACAGACGTGCCTGGAGGAGTTTGAAACAGGTGAGACTCATTTCGCAGATATTGTATGATACATGTAAGGATGCCTCTCAAAATTTTCCCCGCCCAAATCAGTTGCTTCTACACGATCGTGTGTCGGTGTATGCGGCACCAAGCACACTTAACAGCACATTTGAGATCAACCATGCCTACTTGGGTCACCCACTCTGAATCCGCCAGAATCACAAATTCCCACCCGTTTCAGTCAGTTGGATGCACCATCTTGCATTGACGCCCACCTTTTTTGGATACCCTCCTGTCGAGGGGAACACCTTTCGCAAGCCGCGGACGATTATGACATGCTCGCTGTCTCCTGTCTCGGAAACGCGCCCCACCGTCCTGCGCTCCGCCGCGACGTCCTCGTCCTCTCCGTCGATGCCCACAGAAACGGAACCTAATTCCGTCCCCTGCTGACCATCTGCCTCCATGAGCATAGCGTACTGCATGAAAAGGAGGAAGCAAATGTAAACGCACGCGAAAGGCGTGGCATATCATGGGTGCAGAAGCACCATAGGGAACATCAGGTACGACCAAGCATTACTAAATCAGGGATGGGCAGAGCTCCGAATTCATTTTCCAATGTGTAGCATGCTGCAATTCTCACCAATGCCTTTGGCAATGCTGAAAGTTGAATGGCATCAAAGGCATTCAGGAATATGCTCGTGGTTAGGTGTCGTGATTTGCTATCCACCGGAAGCTGCCTTTTTTTCGATGTGTGGACAGGGCCCAAGACGCAACACAGCTGTGACCCACGCTAAGGACTTACCCCACGCCCTCTGCCACAGCAACAGCAGCAGGCAAGCTTTCTTATGGCGCCGCAGAATCCCCCGCCAGTTTCTTGGGCTGCCTTCGCAAGGCACAATCGTGCACATTTCGGTGGAGACAAAATAACGAATGTGAAAACAGCAAGAAATTGCACCCTAAAAACCTTCTGAAACCACATATGGGCGCTCCCATCATCAAAAGGCTCAGTGGGAGCGAAAATAGAGCCACAGTAGAGCAGCCCATCCGGCGCCTGCATCATAACATATCGCGCTACCTGCATTGATGAAAATATGGATCATTGCGTCTGTCCTGAAGGCGCTGCTGGAACATTTTGAGTGCAGCTGATTCCACAACAAGAAATTGGTGTTCAACGCCTACCTCATCAATCCAGGTCCCTACAATAAAGTGTACCAGAACATGGGATTATGGGGCAAAGTACTTGGGATGATGCTAGAAAGCTAACATGCGGTGAAAGTAGTGCCGGGCTGGAAATCGGGCACAGAAACTTATAGGCTGCTGTGCATTTCCAGCACGAGAACAGCTGAAGAGCGTCCCAAAATGCAGTGAAGCAGAATGTGGGTGGCAATTGCAAGATCGAATCATGGTACCAGAATCAGATCCTTACTGAGATTCCCTTAGAATGGGCGCTGTCCCGATTTTACCAGCTTGGCGTCAATTCGATTCCAAGGGGACAGGTGAGGGTGAAGATTTCAGAACCGCGATGGATAAGCCCGGCAAGCGCGGCAAAAAATCGACCATCATGTGCTGTACAGGTCCATTTACATCATCTCATATCTCGATTTTATACCTATGAAGCCGATAATAGACCCAAATCCTCCCTGGAATTTTCGGAATCTTATGGGAATCTTTAGCCAGGGATTGCCCCCGCAAACAAAGAATGTTTTTATAAACAGTGTCTGGGGGTGTTTCGCAACTGCCCGTACATGGCCACAAGGCTATCTATCGGCTGTTTGGCTTCAAGAACAAAAAAGCCAACTGACGTTCGCCATTGTTGACCATGCTTTCTAGGAAGTGGCCATGACTCCTGCATGGGAAAATTGCACAACACACGGACGAATGGGCAGTGATTGGTTGTCTTGAAATGCGAACATTGTCTGTCGGTTGTGGTCATTACAAAATGTGGACCAAATGAGTGCAGTGTGAGCCAAGGAATGTTTTGCAGCTGGCGAAAAAGCCTAAAGAAATTGTGTTCTGGATCGTCAAGCCAGGTCCTCATCCAACGTAAATGGCTGCGTTGCTTTCTTAAATTGGAAGACGTGACTTATAAGTCGTGCCACGGATTCGTGTCCTCAGTTGATTCAACCAATCCAACCAAGGATGTCTCAGGGCAGTGGATCACGGCGTTACTTCCCTGCGATGGAATGTTGCGTTGCGCCCTTTGATAATGTTGAAAGTCGACCCATCAATGCAATGACTGGCACAATGTAGGGGCAAACAGGTTCGCCCCTGCGACAACAGCCATGCTCACAAGGGCTCAGCGCGACAAGGAGGGAAGAGCAGCAGGCGTCTGCTCAGCGGGGCTTGAGACATTCAGCATTTTCAAGCGCTCTGATTCACAGAATCGGCAAAAGCCTGGGTATTGACTACGAAAATGTTGACATTTATCTCACCTGATCAACTTGAGCGCTCCTCGTCTTGCAGAATCCGCCCAGAAAATATAAAGGATGTCGATGGACACCTATGCCGGAAGAGAACACCTGGGGCCCGAAAATTGACAATCATCGCAGCGACAAACACAAATGTTGCGGCACAGTCGGATGTGAATGTGGATCGCATTGCTTGCTTGAAGGTACCGCGCTCAGAGCTGCATCCGTGCAACTCTCATGTGGGGTGTGAGTGCCGGATTTAATCCGCATGGAGTTTTACACACTGTATATACCAACTAAGAACATGCAAGTGCTCCATCCTGTGCATATCTGTTCATATACTCCATAAACCAGGAAGCCTCTCGACATGCCCAATAGATTTCGAAATGAATTTTCGGCGGCAATCCGCATTCACTTCATTTGACCAAAAACTAGGCAGAACCTTGAGCCTAGTAGGTTACAACATGCGCACCATTTTGGAAGTTGGCAATGTTTGAACGCCCTGACTCACCTGTTCAACGTACCATGCCGCCATCATGAACAGCGGCCATTCTGCAATCAAGGTGACCATCAAGAATCCCATGCAGTTCTTGTCGTCCTTGAACGATGCCCAAGTCAGGCCATCAGCATCGCCTTCGACAGCGTTGTCGCTGTATATGCCCATCTCGTACCACCCCCTTCATTTCACAAATTCATCAGAACAACTCCAGGTAAATAATGAGTGTTTCGCTCAAGGATGCAATGCTGATAGGTGCAATTATGCATAGCGGGGTGCGCTCGTTTGCGACGCTACAAGGTGAACAACATGCGGCCTTGATCAGATATGCAGCGCTTGCTTATCGCTTCATCATTTGGGGGTGTCAAAACGAGAAAATGAATCACATAGGAATAATACTGCAGAAATAAAATATCGCATTGTAAATTAATTCACTAGAACATACTTTTGGACTTCTGACGTATATTCGAGAAGCCTAGAAGCAGGCATAGAATTAGCGAATGCAAGAGCAATCCCGCAACGACGAGCATGAAGGAATGCCCACCTTCAGACCGCGCCTATCAGTGGAGGAGGGTCAGGCAACCACATAACTTGCAAAGCAAGAGTTGAACATATGACACATGGGTGCAGATGTTTGGGATGCTTGTTGTTTTCCGATAGGCGATGTCTGATATGCGATGAGAGAAGCCGAAAAACCTAAAAAATAATGCACTTTAAGGAGGGGCTGGATGATTGAAAATTTGAGGGAGATTTCGCAACAAGCTTTGAGCCGTTTGCCGCTGATCAGCAGCGCTTTTGGGGAAATAATATTACTGCCTGCACCAAATCGGTGACTGCTTGCACCAAGTCACGTGCACACTTTGTCCTAACCTCAGTTTTAGGGTTAGGTTTAGTTCAGGGTGAGTTTTAGGGTTAGGGTTAGGGTCAGGACAGGTTTAGGTTTAGGTTTTAGGGTTTAGGTTTTAGGTTAGGTTAGTTTTGATGGAGTTGGACATGATGTGCACGTGACTTGGTGCAAGCAGTCAACGTTTTCGTGCAAGCAGTCACCGATTTGATGCAGGGAGTAATTTTATGCCGCTTTTGGGCCTCTATTTTGATTTAAGTGCAATTAGGCAATCTTTCAGCGCCATTGGCTGGAGCCCCCACCACCCGCCCACCCACTCACCTTCCCCACACAGACACGCGGTCAATTTGACGTTAAGCGTAACAAAATCAAAATAGTCTCTTCCCTAAGAGCATTGCGGTGTCATGCCTCGTCAGGCACCAGTCGCAGAACTCATTAACACTCTTGTACGATTTCAACCGAGTAACAAGCAGCCACCATGTGTACAATCGCGCTCCAAAGTACCCGGTTTCTACAGGAAATTTACTCGATTGTACACAATGGTATACTGTGTAAAATGACCTATTTTTGATAACACGGAAATCTTCGAAATGCGCATCTAACCCAAAGGCCAGCAAACTAACGTTTCCCAAGTACCCTGGCTGAATGCAATGCAGATCAATGCACTGGCCGAAAATCACCAAACAAACGGGGCTGCAAACACGGCATTATTGGGTGGGTGCAGTTTGCAGGGATTTTGCCAACGCCAGAATGGAAGTCTTTAGCCTTTTGTTAATGGATGCGCATGTCGGCACACCTGGACGCAGCGAAGGTCGGGACGAGCTGCAGGAGTAAGACGCTTTCCCTGTTGTCTTCGTCATCAATCGATGCACTGTAAATTACACTGCCGATAACGCCTCCGACGATCCATATGAAGCAGAACAGCGTTGCTGCCTGGGTAGAGTAGAAGATGCCGCTGAGTAGAAAGGCGAAGGCTATTTGCAGGTTGCCAAACAGGAAAAAGAAGACGATTTGAACGCCTGCAGGAAAACATGCAGTGTTGAAGATACTGTGAAGCAGTCTTTAGGCATCTTGCGCACCAATGCAGTGGTTCAATTGTCAAGTGGAACCCAATTGTCAGACTGCCGAGCTGTGGCGCTTTCCTGATTCTCTCCAGGAAGCAAATTTATGTATTTTTGCTCGAGTTGATATGCTTTCCCTATCCCATATTATCTGTCGTCTATCGCTTTGGCGCCCTACTTCTCCACCACAGACACCTCAGTTTTCGGTGAAACGTTTCCTACAGTAACTTTGCGCACGTTATGCCCATGATTTTAAAATATAGTACCAAAAATTAAACCAAATTCTCTAGGTACCGCGGATTTGACGGTATTTTTTAAGCAAGGGACTTTTACCAGAAAATATCGAACTTTCAAAGGTGCCCCGGAAGCCCCTGTTTTCACGGTTTCCAGGAGCATTCCTTTACCATGTGTTAGAAGCCACTCTTTGCCACCGTGGAGACAACGACTCCGTTTGCCACTCATAGGCACGGCAGCAGCCCATGGGCTTCTGGCCAGAGCTGTGAGGGCCTTCAAGGAACGCAGAAAATAAATGTACAAATTTGGACCAATCCAAGACAATTTCGGGAGCCGCTCGTGAGCGGCCCTGTTGATCAACAGGGGTTAGAGCTGACTTTTCTTGGATGTTGGTAGTCAAGAATTCCGAAACCCAATCTTTCCGATTCTGATCTTCTTTTGTGTATCCGATGCGGTATTGTAACGATTTTTTTTCAAGGGACGAAAATTAATGTGGGGCAGAAGGCGCCTGCTTAAGAAGTGTAATTATTGCTCCAGTGGAGAGGACAATGCCCCGAGCTCACCGTAATCATTCTGTCGGAAAATCGAGAAGTCTGCCAGAGATCCGAGGCTCACCAGCACGACGATATATGCAATGTACAAAATCAGATAATAGGCATATGTCGCGATCCAATATGCCCCGTCGCCAAGTCCGTGCATCTTCATCATGATGCGCAGCCGTTTCAACTTTTCATCCACCAGCTGAACAACCCTGAAAAAAAGAACACCGTTATTCTGATTTCTGAAAACGGGGGTCAACATACTCGTGACAGTTGACGTGACGTGTATCTGGAGACATCTAGGGCGCAGATCTGCAACCATGACAGCACACATATACAGCGTTGATGGTAAGAGCTACGTGTCTCATCCCCTTGGATATTCTGCACATTTTTTGTCGTACACCATCGATTAACGCGGTGCAGTGATTCCCATGGATGCCAATAGCAAAGGCCTCTGAAACCGCGGCGGAGGCTGGATTGCCTGTCATCATTTGCCATTCATATGACGGAGCATTACGCAAAGGGAAAGTGTTTGTTATGGAGTTAGAAGATCCCAAGGGCCGGCGCCTGAATGCACTTCAAAGGTACTTATCTGCTTCAGGGGGCATTTTTTCTTGCTGCAATTGACAGTTGTTCGAAACATGTACATGACCCGAAGTTGCCGTGTTCCATAAGCCACGAGTCTTCACAACGCCTGCCTGAACAACGCCTGAAGGGGTACCGCACTTTTGATTTCGAATACACATGGATCACTCACATGAGCGGCAGAAGGAGCTGAATCACCATACTGAAAGGGATGATGGGCAAAATTGTGGTAATGTCGAAATCGCGATGTCGGTAGAGGGCGTCGCCCTTTCCGCCGATGTTGGCATGCAGGGGAGCCCGCTGATGGGAGCCTACGGGAACTGTCGGCAGGGGGTGGGAGACATCAACGGTGCCTCCGGGATGCCGGCAGGAAAGCCCATTACGGCGGCATCGGAAGGGCAGGCCCCCGGTGCCCCTCTCTTCGATACTGGGCGCATCAAATCTTCTGAGATAGGCCGACATAGGCGAAGGGTGGGATTCTTGGGTGGCACCCGGGCAGTCGATGGTGCCATCAGAGGGGAATTCTGCCAGGGCGAGCAGCCTGGATGAATAGGTACCTGGAGACCAGTGGCGAGCTTGCGCTTTAGCCCCAAAAGCAAGGAATTATGTCATTTTACAGTTAAAAGAGTTTACCGCAAATGAGGCCCTTCAATTCCAAGGTTCGTGCGGACAAAGTATGGAATATTTGCTTTTCCCTTCAGTCTATGGATTGAAACGATGTTGGGCTACTCACGCTAATGAGATACAAGATGGTTCACATTCCTTTGTAGATGATGCCCTTATTTTGCTGATTACAGATGAACGCAACGATCGGCAGAAATCACCAGCAAAGTTTAAGTACAAAAGGTGAAGCACAACTTTCCGGATGCTCAGACTTTGGGAGACGATTGCACACATGTGCGGCAGCATAGAAGCCAATATACACAAATCCCGTCTATCTAATCAGCGTCAATTGATTATGAGGAAAACCAACCGCAATTGAGCTCATGACAGCACACACACTGTCCTGTATGTTGCTGCGAATGTTCAGCACCATGTATTATCGTACGCGCATCAGATACAACGCAACATTGACACGATTTGTGGCATGTACGCTGCTGGCTTGATGCTTAACAGATGACTGAAAACTGAAAAATACGTGCGCCACGCGGTTAGCAATCCCACCATCCAAAGCCGCTTTTATCCACGAATTTGCTGCCAAGTTGATTGGCAGGTTGATTCGAACGTTGCCTTGGAAGACATTGAAGTTGTTGTGCCAAATGCACACACCGAACTTTGAGGCGTTGTCAGAGTCCTGCAATGAGTGGAGTGCGCTCAATTGAAAGCAATTCATTCCCGATTCCTGGTCACTCATGCTCCTCCGCAAACCTGTTGAATTTCCCTACTACCCAATGCTTTGGTTACATTTACATGGCGATGTGCCTTTCACTTGCGAGGCAATATACCACAACGCTTTGGGCAAAGGGCTCGCACAGGCGATATAGCAGCGTCTGTGGCAATGCTGGCAAATCAACTACGTTATGTCGAGCTTGGAAAGCAGATTGGCGGAATAATTGGCAAAGCGAGCTTGATGAGCAAAACCTCTTCCAAGGTGAGGAAGGTGCGATCATATGCAGAAGGCCAGGAGCCTGCTGCTCCATTTACTAAACGCCACTGAAAACTATCAGGAAACTACTATCTCACTTTGAAATCCCATGCGCCGATGTACTCCCTCTCAGCAAACAGGCCCCCAAGTAGCTTCCTCGTGCTCAAAGGCTCATGAAACGTGCGCGATGCGTTGCAGTTGGCCTGAAAACAGTGCAAAAGAGAAATCGGCGGTTCCCACCCTGTGTGATATGAGAACCATCAGAATTTGCTGTGCGTGTAAAGTAAGCAAGGAAAATGCTCATTTAAATTTGGAAAATTTCGCGACGGCAGTCCAACGCTGTCGCTTTTCACCTCCACCACTGGGAAGACACCGGGATTGCATGCATACAACTTCGAACACACTTAACCCGTTCCTAGGAATGGCCCCAAGGAACACCGCCAGAATGCCCGATTGGATGCGATGCAAAAGCCATCTTCTGTTCCGCGAATGATACATAACATACAGGCAGTTTTGGTCCAGTGGACGCTGCCTGGAGTCAAAGGAGTATCTGTCGAACTGGATGCCTTGAGCAATGCACGAATGAGGATCTTAAGCCACTCCACCTCTTCAAAGCTGCAAGAAAATTGCCTGCTGATCCCGTCCGCTGTGGTCAGAAGAGGTAGAATGTTGACACAAGAATCGGTGAGCGCATCTCCAGAGCTGCTGGATCGGATGATTTCGCTGAAGGAAAGGTCGCTGTCGTTCTCAGAGAAGACAGCTGAGACGCCTGGGACCGCGCTGCACTTCTGGCTCAGGGTATGGAGGTCACTGAACTGCGCAAAACCACACACGCAAAAGGGGTGACTGCACACTGTCCCGACCTTCCCGCCATTTACATTTACGCATGTGGATACCACACATGATGCTCATGCATTGCTTCGAGATTTTTATCCAAAAAGTTCCCACCGGCCTCTCGTAGACCATGCTCACATGCCTGTTACTCACGTGACTTGAGAAAGCAAGGTCGACTTGTGCATGTTGGCCAGGCTCCCAGTCGGTACCGAACACGAAGCCCTCGTTAGTAAACATCTCCCCGCGGAAGACATCCTGTTCGTTCATCAAGCCAAGGAAAGGAAATCATGAGTAAGCAGGTAAATAGCTCTCAATGCCAGATTGTCGCCGACATTGGTGGTTCACGCTAACGTAAGGTCACATCGAAAGCCTTGCTCATCTCGAGCGTGTCAGAGAAGGGGACCATTTGCGGTGAACGCCGAGCTCCGCAAAAGACTGAAGATTTATTTCAGTGTTTAAATGGTAGAAAGGTATGACAATCATGGATAACATGATGCATGGCTGTATCAGTGGCAAAAACATAATATAAAATAGTCATCACAGAAACGAACTAATACTATATTATACCTCAGTGCTTTGTGTACTGAAGTGCAACATTGTATGGTACATCATTGTGTCGACATAGTACACTGTTTTAATGCTACCGGGACAGGACCCGCACCAATCGCAATGGAACTTATGTAATGATTAAGTATGCGCTGGTCTCTCCTACAGCATTGAACAAAGCTGGTGCATCAGCATTCTAAGTACTTCGCAAGTAATTTGCAACAAAGTGTCTTACAATCGACTAAGATGTCACGGTTGATGCCCGTCCGCGGCTGATCAGCAAGCCAGCAAATTTCGCAATTCGATAAGAAAAAATCAACCACACAGAAATCGCGTTAAATTACTTGTGCAGACGTTGCAAGCATTTCTTTATGTCGTAATTCTTAATGACTCCCAGTCACCGCTTTTATCTGATTCAGTCACCATCCATGAGCAACAAATGCCGACATCCTTGAACACCAACCTGCTCTTTGGCCATCTGCATGAACTTGTTGCCGGTAATGTTGAATGAAGGACTATCCGAGAACATGTAGCTGGCAATGGTACTTGCCACCTCTTCATCCTGTCCCGCGTAGAGCATGACCGCATTTGATGCCCAAGGTCTATCCCGAAGATGGGCCACGCGATTCTGAGTGCAGCACACCAAAGCTTCCTCACCAAAACTCCGGACCTCAGTCGATTCTCACAACACGTTCGCTGGAACTTCCCGGCCGTTCTTTAAGAACAGCAGCTTCAGATCGAACGTCACCATTTCTTGTTTGTACAGAACTAAAGTAGTGTGCACCGCTGGCCGTTGCACCTTCATCCTGCCTGGCTTGCTATTACAGGGATACTTTGGTAGACCATTTGACATGCTTTGGCGATATTGTGTGAGCCGCTCATCACAGCTTCAGTCATCAGCGAAAACGCCTCAGATTGCTGACCCACCTGAATGGCGGGCGGCCAGCTCACAGGGTGCTCAATTCTGCAGAGAGCAATTTCACCCTGACTGGGCAATTTCGCGCCACATCCCTTCGAGTTGCATACTTCCGCATCTGGGCACTGCCGACCCTCCAACCCAGCGCTGCTGCGACAGTTGGTGATGTTTGCCCTGTCGCAGCAAAGGCACGGACATCCGCGCTGCAAAAGGAAAGATGAATGCGTCTCAGCAGCGAGTCTCGCAAGCGGCCACATCCATCAGCGCAGGGAAAATTCCGAGCCAAGACCCTCAACACGTAATGTTTGCATATTGCAGTCCAAAATGCTCGCAGAATCGAATGAATCAGTCCTTCAGCACAGCCTGGTACTGTGAATTTACGCAGCGGTTCTGGTCAAATCATCCCCCAGTAGTCGCGGTGAATATCAAGTTCCGTAAATCTTGCATATGCAAGATGAGTTTCCCGCATCTGCTCACATGGAAAAGTACTCCCCACAATTTGTTGCAGCACTGGTCGCAGCTCCAAATAGCAAATTGGTCGACAATGAGGATATAATATATAAGGATATAAGATATAATATGAGAATTCTCAAGCGAACCACGCAGTAACTTGGCTGTTCGCTTTTAGCATGACTCGGATTGGTAATATAAATAATGCGATTTATCTTTACAGAAAGTCGTTTTCGCCAACCGGCTATTGCAACAGCACACATGTATACAGACAGCCACTCACTAAGGATACGGAAATTAATGCAGTACACGGGGGCGACCAGCAACCGTCCGCGGCGAATAGCCACACACAAGGTAAGGTGGCTTTTTGCGCTCTTTCCACAGTTGCACAACTGCCTTGCCTTGACGTTCTCAAGGCTCCCAGCGTCACGGTCAATCGACAGCTGAATAGCATATATCAGGGAGACGAACAGGAGCGGTGTCAGGGCGATGCATGCATTGAGGCAGCATCGGCGCTTCTGGTACGCCACGTTCTTGTGTATCATAGCCACGGTCTGCTGCCTCAGAGTGGACGTCGGCTGCATCAAAAAGAGGGCACACACAACCCCAAAGTAAATTTTCACTATATATTTTCACATTTAGTACCAACATACTTGATATCTTTCTATTTCACAACTAGGGCCCTGTGTTCGGCAAACAGAATTCCAAGAGAAGTCTGATGTACTTGGTAAGCAAAGTCCACCTGTGCGGCTGAACTGCACGCTGGAAGAAGTGCGCATTGGGAGAAATCAACAGATACGTTGACGCGGATGGCTTTTGAAGTGTCCCTGCTTTCGAAAGAAGTAGAGCGTTGGCCGTCCATGTGAAAGGCCGATCTTGAAAATGCATGGACATTTTGCCAGGTGTCTGCGCAATTACGTTGTCGTTGAGACAATGTATTTCTTGAGAATCTTTCCTGGATCCGCATATCCTCAAAGGCGGTGACGCATGCGATTCGACGCCATTCCCATTCCCAGTTTCCTGATGCGCACTGAAAGCACAGAGCTGGCAGCACTGCATGTACGACGAAAGGTATGAAGCTTCATACCAACGCTGGCACGTTGCTGGGCTAGTCAATGTAGAACAATCGGGTTTCGTATACGCTGTACCACATTCCATCAGTTTTGATTCACCCATTTGTCTGAGTGAGTGTGCATTCTTTCATGCATATCGCTACTGGTTGATGCGGCGGTGTGACTCTACTGGGGACAATTGCACCAAGCAATACTCACCATGATGACCGACGGAGCACCCCGGTGCAGCTACTTGTTTGGGAACCCTGCAAACAGAGCGCAGTGAAATACTTGTACTAATAACCCAAGCTCGTAATTCATTGGCATTTAACCAAATCAGCACAGTCCTGCTAAAGAGCATAGGCAAATGCCAGCGCTTTCATTGCGTTTGTCAGAAACAGTGGACCGCAAAAATGCGCCAAAGGTATCAAAGACGGAAAACGGTCAAAAGAGATTAGAATAGAAGGAAGATGCGTCGATCGACTTCGCGAACTCCATCCTGCCTGCCGTGTACTTTGGTACCAATTCGGTATAGAACTCCATGCAATTAATTATTTGCATAATGGAGCTGTGGTGCTCGGCACGATGCCAGAGCAAGAGGGATGGCTTGGCGGCCGTGCGCCGTCAAGTTCGCTTTGGGAGACGCGAAACTGCCACGGCCGAGACCAAACGCGAGCCTATCAGCCTGATCTCTCAGGATGGAGGCGATCGCACCGTGCAACAGGCGCGGCTCCGGATCGCGCCAATTCATTCCCGAATCGCAGTAACGGCCTCTGCGCCGAAAATTGGGGTGCTTTTGGTTCCCAAACCGCCTGCAACTTTCCCTGGCATGAAAAGCGATCGGGTTCGTCCGGAAGCACATCTGACCCCTTAGAGGTGGGCAGCACGACCAATCCCGGGATTCTCGTTGGAGGTACCGCCCGGTTTCGCCGCACGAGCGAGGGCTGCCCCCAGCGAATCGTCTACGCGGATGGCCTCCATCAATGTTGGCGCATCTCTAACAGAGCGCCCGCGACCGTCCGCCCAGGGAACACCCTCTGAGATGGCGAGGATTCGCCACCGGCTCGCAATGACAGCCACCCTTGCCAACGTCAGGAATGATCGATAGGCGCGTCTTTCCGGCGAAGGTCGAGCGTGCGCAGCAGCGCCGCTCCGCACCGTTGGGGCTGAGGGCGACAATGGATTCGCCCTGCTGCGCGCCTCCGCTTTCTCGCCCGAAAAGGCATCTCATGCGTGCGGTACACGGCGGGGGGAAATTGATGTTGACGCGCATTTGGATGAAGTCCATGCGCCCACCAAAAAAGAAAGGATTGGGGTCGTTCCCACGATAATGAACGGTTTTCACGATTCTGACGCCATTTTCTGCCGTCGGGAGACCATCGCCAGGGCGAACGTTTTTATGGTGTTCACGACTGACACATGGTTTGGGACGGATGAAGCGCTAAGGACCTCAAAGACATGCTGTTAGCTGCTTTCGTTCATGCTACATGTGGCATGCCCTGCACAATCCATGTACACGTGTTTCAAAGTGGGTGGTGAAACTCCTTCGGGCACGTGCTGCTCCTATACATAACACTGTGCGCACAAACTGGCAGAAACAGTGATTTAAACAGCCTGAGACTGCAGCGCTGGGCTTTCCCGTCAACAAATAAGCTGCGCCACCAAGTCGAGTGCGGGCTGGAAAGTGAGCGGCGCCCAGCGGAATCGGGACACTGGGCCTGGCGAATGGGAACGGAACGGTTTAAGGGAGAGGACACCGTTGTTGGCCACCACCACCGTTTGTATCAATCGCTGCGAGGTACCACCGTGACAGGGCGTTACCTGGGGCCGTGAACGCTTGATCTGCGTAACTGAATAAGTTTCCGCGATCCTAGTCTTCGAGAAGGCAGTCGGAGCTTGCCAATCTGATTAAATTAAAACGGGCGTTTTCCTGTCCCAATGCCTTGTTGCCCCCACAACTGTCGTCACGATCACCTCATGCTTCCGGTGCGCACCACTCACGAGGGACAGGCCCATGCGGTCACAACGCAGCACAAAACTCTGAGCAAGGACACGCCCAGCGGCGCAAACTCTGTTGGGCTCCCCAACCGGCTGCGATTCCCTGGAAAGACTGTCGCGAAGGGTACTGACTAACCGGCAGCTGCAGATAGAAATGGCTGCACTGCTGTCGCAGCACGCCGGCAGGCGCCGGTCACCCCAACGTTGCTCCCACGTTGGCGTCAAAGACGAGAGTTTCGAAGCCGGCCACAGCGACCGAACTGCATGAACTTCGGCCCACAATGGATAAGCACCCAGTTGGCGGCGCCGCGGTGGCGCGACACACAACGGGCTGGTCACCTGACGAACAACAGACCCCCACTCCTCACGCGTCTGATCCCGAAAGACTGTACCAAATAGTCGTGCCGTGCAAGGAAAGAACAAGCTCCCCCCCGGCGCGCCCCGCGTTTGGGAGCACCACGCCCCTCGCTGCCCCAATGCGCAACAACCGAACCCAGTCGACTGCTGTCTGCAGCGCCACAAGGGCAGCACCACACAGCAAGCGCGCCGCAACAACTTTCGACCCCCAATATGCGCCAATTTGTGGGCACGTCCGGGCGGCAGACCCAAAAGAATCAAAAGCCTCGATGAGGCTTGCCGGCATTCACTAGAGAAGGGGTGACGGTGGCACGGACCTGGCGCAACCGGTTTAGGTGAAAGGTATAGGCAAAGAGACGAGGGCCAGGCGGCGCGGCCCTCTTCTTTACAGCGTCGAAGCGCCGGTCATGAACGGAGCTCCCGGAACCGCGCGAGTCGCTGGTACGGCTTCGCTGGAGCATTGAGGCAATGCCGCCATCGCATCTGAAGTGGAATTGAAGCCAAGACGAAGCAACCGACGGCGCGGAGAAGTGGACCCCGCCCGTCAGGAACGACAGTGGTGAAAGGTGCCCAGCCGCCATCATCGGCAGTATCGCGCCCGCCAAACTGTCTCTGAGCACCGTACCACGACCTTCGCGTTCCGCAGGCAAGCCAACTCCTGCCAGGGCGCCTATAACGGAAAATAGAGGCCAGAGGACCAGCAGCGGGCTCGGGTGCTCCAGTGACCCAGACATCCAGTCGCCAGAGCGGTATCCACTGGTGCCAGGAGTGAAAGCCAGGGCATTCTACAGGCCAGCCAGCTCCAGCCGGGGCGCCTCCAACGGGACACAGCAGCAACAGGGCAGCATCGTGCGCGGCGATCGCGGACATCCAATCACCACCACAACATACAAAGGCATCTGAAGCAGAAGTCAGCCATTGCCGCTCAATCGTCACCTGCACTCGCGCACCTGCTCCGCTGTTCGCCCCCGCGACCAGAAGGCGACGACTGGCGCTCCGGTGCAGTCCGGTGGATGGGCTGCGTTGGGCATCTTGTAGGTCCGTCTGCTGAAGGCACGTGTGGACTGCACAGTCATGTGGATGAGCATTGGAATCGCGTGGGCCACGTGACCGCAGGCCACGTGCGCCTTCCCAGCGGGGGTCCGACACCATTTCGTAAGCGCGGCGGCCTCCTAAAACAGCAGCGCTGGCGAAGCTGCAATTACAATGGGCGTTCCTGGGTAAATTATTGCGGGAACCGACGAATCATGGCGACGGGCATCTCACGGTGCGATGCATCAACACAACTGCGTTCTGCAGTTTGGACTTGGGGACGACCCGTGTGAAGGGCGTCGCAGAAGCGTACCGAAGCTGAAGGCAAAAGAAGGGAACGGCAAGAAGGATGCACCATATGGTGCATTCGTGCATTTTGTGGATGCTTGAATGGAAGGAATCTAGGAGAGCCCAGTCAGCATAACGAGCATCACTGAATGTCACTGTGGTGTAAATGTATGCATATGCGTGTGCTATTGGTATAGAATGGAATTGAAAGACTTTGGTGGTGATGGTCAGCCTTGGATCCGCCATCATGATGTACACAATGCATGGAAGGGACAAAACGTCGAGCATCCGCGACCTGGCAGTGCCAGTGGGGTGCATTTTTATAGTTTTATAGCAGGGGGGTGCTTGGTGGTGCCTCGTTGTAGCGAATGCTACAAGGTCTGGAGCAGTAACGTCTAAAATGGCCTCTGTTGACGCTTTCTCCATGCAAGTTTTCCGCACTCCAGACCCCCATTGAATACGGAATCGATTCACGCCACAGCACCACCTACGCGGTGTTAATCAGCTCGCTGCCTGGTGGAGCACCTGACGATAATTATCGACTTATAATTATAAGTCGATTATTAAATACATGCCAACGAAAGTCACCGCAGAGGTGTTGGCGTTATTCTCCAAGGTAAACTCTGCTAAATGGTAAAGGTGAAATCCCAGCCGCTCTTCAACACCCAACAAACCATCCACACCTGCCACAAACAACGTTGAAGCAGCAAACAGCCCCCCAAACTATGTATCATCGCGTCCCTATCAATCCAATTCCTGTGACAGTGACAAGTTGGCATCGCTGGCCCGGTTTCCGGGGACTGCTGCTTATATTCGGTTTGGTCTGAACAGAAATAAATTCAGCCTAAACGGAGCGACACGGTCCGCAAACGTGCAGCTTGCAAGGATCATTCATCATCGATTTGAACAACGACAGTTGTTGAATGATATATGCTGAATTTGTCCACGCCTTGCCGCGGCGCGTTCAAGCTCATGTCCCATCATGAACCCTTCGGAGCACAGGTCCGGGGGTGTGGGTGAATTGCGGCAAGGGCGCCGGTGATTTCTTGGCCCTCTCGTGTCAATGCAACTCTTGCGCCGTTGCTCCCGCCTTGGCGGCGATTTTGATGAACACTTGCTCCAGTGTCGCGTTGGTGACCGACCAGTCGATAACCTGTTTCAATCCAGCGCCACGGGTGTGAGAAATTAGAAAGTACAAGTTTGAGCTGCTTCGCGGTCAATACCACGTTTGCAAGTTGTACTCTGAGGAAACAGAGTTGTTGCGAATAGATGCGAGCTTGCAGCTTGCAACTTATGAGCTATTTGGCCAAAGACCGTGAGCACAAGATCAGTGTAGTTATTCGCAAATGCAATGTTGGTTGGTCGATTTGCTGGTCTACTGCGCTGTCCTGTCTCTTGACTTGCTCACAGATTCAGTGCAGCTCGTTTTGTCGTGGATCGCCAGGTTTCTGAATCTACGTATACATGAGTCTAGATAGGCCATTTCCTCAGCTCTCGGACGAATTTCCAAACAAGGCACACACACCTCAATTTGTGGTCTGAGTCTCTCCACGAACGTGAACACGTCGCTGGCCGTCACTTCAGACGTCGGAAGTTCGAACATCAGAGTGCCACCCACTTCATATGTCACCCGAGCGTTCCCGGTCAGTCTTTGTGACACCAGCTGCTTTGCCACACCGATGCCTGCTTCGGCGGTTGTCAATGTGAAGATCTGAAACATCGCACACGGTTATGCGCGGTTGGTGGTGCAATGGTCCGCACTTTTTCTCAATGATGGTATGCAAAAGAGTTTCACTTTGCAAGGCTTTTAATGGGGCTGGAACATGGATTGACAAGTGTTGGCTCATCTGAAAAGAAACAATAAATGGTGAGGTTCGCGATCTCAATTCTCCAATTCTGACGCAAATGTGTAGCACCTAGCCAGTTCGTCAAATAGTGACTTTCAAGATCTTGTTGATGGACATCAATGGTAGTTCCAGCGCCTTGGTGTATTTTTCATGATGTGGCAGCGACACCATCTACTAGATCTAAGTATGAAGTGCGCACCAGCCAACTGGAGCAGCATCTTGGGGGGCTCCGGTTCTTATGCAGAATATCATGCTACATGCCGTTCTTTCATCAAGCTCTCTTTCCCACTCCGTGGACCAAGGTAAAAAGGATCAAAGGCATATTCCTCACTGGTACTTTCCAGTGCTCAAGAGCAGTGTAAAGAACCAGGGAGTAAACTTGCTTTTGCAAATTTTGAACTTTTCTGAGACCATAAATGGACATAAAAATTAGAATACATAACGAAACAGAATCGCTTGTTAACATGTATGGACTCTCACCAGATAGTCCCCATGCCTCGACGTCAGCCGCTGCGGGCTGCCGATGGCCACCAGGCTGCCGTTGACAATTATCCCCACCCGGTCGCACAGCACCCCCGCCTCCTGCATGCTGTGCGTCGTCAGTATGATGGCCTTTCCCTTTCTCTCCCTCTTCACAGTACCCCACAGATTCCGGCGAGAAGCGGGATCCAAGCCCTGCCAACAAAAGCGAGCAATTAATAGTATTTCCAGATAAACATTGTTCAATTAACAACTAGCGATCGTCGGTGAAAATTCACATATCCTGGATATGGAATAGAATATGGGGCGGCCCCATGTCTTGGATATCGAATATGATATTGGCGTCATATCCCGGATATGCATGGCCAGGATATGGCCATATACTGGATATGGGCGCTCCACATTCAGGATATGGGGGCCCATATCCCAGGATATGGCAAATGTGTGGACGAGGATATTGTCTTATCCCAAGATATGGGCGGCATCTTATGGGATATGGCTGCCATATCGTGGGATGTGGGGCCCCATATCCTGGTATGTGGCCATATCCTGGGAATGTATATCCAAGACAACAAGGCAACTTTTTTCCGACGATGTTGTTAAATAGACACTATTGACAACTAACCAGCAACTCACAGCTGATGGAGAAGTGACATCTCATTAGCCTGGCGCCCTCCATCAGCTAGATGTGCCTGCCTCCGTGCGCAGCGCCATTCTTTCAGATTCCAAAATGTCAAATGACATTTCAATATTTTGGAATGCACACAAATGGTAACTACGTACTGCCATTGTTTTCGAATAACATTATCGTGTCAAGTGAAACACAATCGTTCATTGCCTCGTCGCTCACAGTGCTTGGTTCATCGAGGTACACGACTTTGGGGTCTCCAATAAGAGATATCCCGACGCTGAGGCGGCGCTTCATCCCTCCACTGTACGTCTTCACCAGCTTGTTTCCCACGCCATTGGCAAACAAGCGCACAGATTTGAGGGCATCGGCAACAGCCGCCTTCAACCCTGCCCCAGTGAGGCCCTTCAGGCGGCCGTAAAACAGAAGATGCTCGGTGGCTGAACAGACAAGTACCGAAAAGAATCAGAGACTCTCCAACCAGAAATAATTGCAGCAAAGAATGGCACTTCATCGCCATTGAATATAAGAAGGCTAGGAAGGAAGGAATCGCATACGGCGCCATATAATGAGCCACGCTGTCATCATCAATTGATTTGTTGCATTTGTAATGGAAAACCAAACTCGGGCGTTGCGCCTGCAAGGTGATGGCGCGACAAAATCCGTCCACAGTGTTGTCCGCATTAGTGTTAAATAACCCACTCTATCCTAATGCTCCAAATAAAGGAAAGTGTAGAAAAAAAACAATCGCAGCGGTAAGGAATGGTGAATCGCGACGTATTCCTTATTGAAAGAACGGACAACAGATGAAACAAGAGCGACTTCATGGCAGAATTTGAGTTTCCAAATCAGCGCAATGGTGGGACAAGGCTCAGAGGCGCCCTCCATTCCGTTCCATAAACTGGACACAACCGGCTGCTCTTATGTCCCGACCACGCACGAATTGCTCAATCCCACCCGTTAGCGTGTCCCAAAGCAGATTGTGTTGGGGGCAGACACCCATGCTGCCGTAGATCTGTTCCATGGACTGCGCGATGTCCATGCCATTGATGAGAGCCGATCCAGACGTAGGCTTCATGAAACCCCCAAGCATATCAATGCATGTCGTCTTTCCGGCACCGTTTGGACCCAACAGGCCAAAAACCTCTCCTGGGCGCACTGTCAGATACATATCTTTCACAGCAACCTGTCGCGCGACAAAGAGTTTGAAAATTATAAGGAGAAGAAAAAGCATGCACGGATTCCGACTACTGACGATGGATGAGCAAACACAACAAAGCAACGAGTTGCAGGTTAGTTGATGGCGGCATTCCTACCATTTAGATGAGGGATTTTCCTAGTTAACGGCCTGTTTGCAAGCAGGTGCCCTGGAGCGTTGGAAATTATCCAAGAGGCATTTGTGGTTATGGTGCATATTCATCGGCCCCACAGGAGCAGATTAGTTCAAGGACGCGACTTTTAAACAACCACATCTTCATCTGTGCAACATCATGCGCATCGGGGTGACACACCAGGGGACCGGCTTGTGCAGTTTGATCCGCCGCTCGCAATTCAGCCACGCCGCGTGAAGCGCAAGTACCAATTAATATAATATTATTAATACCATTACTATTATGTCATTATTGTTAATATTACTATATGATATTACTATACAATTCGGGCACACCTAGGTGAACCGCATCGACGCGCACCTTTCTCGGATTCCCTCCTGACGACGGGAAAATCTTTCTCAAGCCGCGGATCACAATGGTATGCTCGCCGGCCCCGGTCGCGGGAATGCCCTCCACTGTCCTGCGTTCCGCCGCCACGTCTTCGGCTTCTTCGTCGACGTCTACCACAACGGAGCTGCGCGACGTTCGCGGAACGAACTCTATCCCCTCCTGGGCATCCATCTCCTTGCGCTTCTGGGCTGACTGCATCAAAGTGGGAAGTGGATGCAAAATCATGTAGGCCGCTCCCGAATACAACGCACATTGTTCAATTCACAAGGCTGTGGCATTTTGTCAATGGCAATCACCAACGTACTTCATTGCATGTGTTTTGCATGTCGAACTTAGATACTTGCATGAAACTCAGCCATGTTCGTAAAAAGCTGAATGAAATTTTGTACCACATCTCGCCCTACAACCGCGCTATATCAAAGCGCCCAAGAAGGGTACGAAGTCGCAGAGAATGCTCAGGCCCAAGTGCCCTACCTCGCCCTTTCCGCCACAGCAGCAACAGCACGCAGTCTTGTTCGTGGCGCCGACAACGCCCTCAGAAATTCTCTTCACGATCTTCACAGGATACCATCGAAATGTCACAGTGAGCAACATGCTCGGCTGGACCGAAGATTGGAGATAGTGACAGGGGGGCTTTGGGCAAATCCGAGAAAACGTCACATGCACAATTAACTTACACAAAAAAGAGCTACAGTATACGAGAAAAAACCCAACTTTCAGATATCGCTCTCAGGAAGGTGATTCGAATGCGCTGCTGTATGTGCTTGTTAAGTTCCATTGTATTTCACCCGATCGAAAGACGCTGAAGCGAATACACAGATCTGAATGAAAATTAGAATACCCACAATGCACCTTCGTAGTGCACACCGGCACGCCAAATTTTCAGTGCGCTAAATCAATGTTTAAAGAGATTCCAAGCGCATGGCATGAGGGAGCAGCTACCATGCAGTGAAAGTTGCGCCCTGCGTGCAATTGGACACATACAGCAACAAAGTACACTTGCATTGCAGCGCACTGCCTCGGGTGCAAGGCATCTACTTGTATAAGCACAAAGAAACAATGTGGGAGAAAGTAGTGATGCAGATTGACAGGCTCCAATTAAGCAGAGCGATGGCACCACACTGGCAATTTTGTGAGAAACAATCATAAACTTTTTATCACCGAATGGTAGGACCACAAGACAGTTGTGCGCCCCTCACAGAATACAACGTTGTACTTGGCATGTTCTCTGATCTAGGATTTACATGATATTGCTGCACTTAGTCCATCTTCTTACTTGCTTTTCGCGTGTGTTCTTCGCCTTACGGAGTCCTTGCAAGAAATAAAAAGGATGCCTATTGAAACCCGTGCCCGTTGAGTACACCTGAGAACCAGAGCACACAGAGTAAGTGCACGAATTTCTCGTTCCATCATAGACATTGCGTGGTTAGCACCTGTTTGTTTCGAGTCCCAAATTTAAACACAACATGCGTGCATCAAGGCGACTCCTGGGTATTGATGATTCATCCATATCACTGGCAGAAAAAGGACCAAATAGCACATTCCGAAAAACAATATGTATGCATTTCATCAGTGTTATGCACGCTAAAAACACGAAAGTAAGCCAAACCCGCAATTTTGCACACATTTGAAAAATGAGCACGCTGCGCATTGATATACTAGCACAACCGCAGAACCGCACGATTCTAGGTTTCCCCAGAGCTGAGTCATCCACATATGCCATATTAATGAATCCTCTGTCGGAAGAACTTCCAGAACATCCCGAACTTTCAGGACACTTGCGTTGTCTGATTTTGCCAAGAAACCAGAGTGCTGTCGTTGCATTGCCCTGGCACCTTTAGCAGACAGCGTGTTCAACTTTTGCGAGAACCAGAAACCTCTGGGCGCCTTGGCTCACCTGCTCTACATACCACGCCACCATCATGAAAAGCGGCCATTCCACGACGAAGGCCACCAGCAAGAAATCCATGTCATTCTTGTCGTCATTGAGGGATTCCCAAGTAAGGCCATCAATGCTTCGCTCCTTGGCGCGCAAGCTGTACACGCCCATCTCGAACCATCCCCTTCACAATGTGCACGAAGATTTTCAGGATTGTTTAATCTACTAACAAATGTGCGCTTCGAGAACGCTGCTCCCCGAACATTCACCTAGCACATCGCGCGAGGCTGCATGCAGCGACTTGGAAATGAACAGCACCGGCAACGAACCACACAAACAGGAATCAGCTTCATGTCACTTCACGTTCCTCGACAGTGCGCAGACTGCACGCAAAAGCAATTGACCATCGCACCTGTAGGCGCTAAAGGCTGGAACGAGCTGCACCAGCTTGACGTAGACAGCGTCGTCCATGATCAGGCGATTCATCAAGAAGAGGCTGACCAGCCCGCCCCCGAAGATCCACAAGAAGGAAAACACCATTGCCGTCAGGGTTGAGCCGAACACGCCGCTCATTAGGAAGGCGAAGGCGATCTGCAGGTTGCCGTACAGGAAGTAGAACGCGATTTGTACACCTGAGAACAGCGCCCATCGCTCAAAACGTCCAAGCCACGCCCTTCACATTTTTCACCCATTCCATTGTAAACATGTGGATCACTGCAAAATTAGAAAACTTCAGCACTGCTCGTCCCTACCCCCTCTCCCTTCACTCCCACGCCCCGCACCCACCGCTGAGGTCGCTTTAAAAAATTTCGAAAAACATAGTGATGCTTCCCGTTTCTGCCAACAGACCACTGTCAGTGTCTCTGTCCGTGCCAGAATGTTTGGCGGATGCTGCCGATGAAACAACCCCTGAGTTTGGCAGAAAAAGGGACAGGAGTCAACACAAATGCTGACACCTGGACGCACCGTAATCGTTGAGGCGGAAAATGGGAAGGTTTGCCAAAGATCCGAGGCCCACGAACACGGCAATGTACGCAGTGTACAGAATCAGGTAGTATGTGTAGCTCACTATCCAGTATGCTCCGTCGCCAAGTCCGTGCATCTTCATCATGACGCGGAGCCGCTGAGATTTTTCATGCACCAGTTGAACAAGCCTGCAAGAGCGAGCAGCGACAGCCTAATGAAGTGTCCGAAAATGGCAGCAGCAATCTTGCTCTCCAAAAAAATCTTAGCAACAGCTGTGGTGTTTCCTTGTATGCTTTCTTTAAGGCGGGGGGAAGGAGGGTACATTTTCATCTCCTCCCTCATTGTCATGAATGCTTTCAACCAATTGTTTAGGATCTGGAGATCACAGAACCATAGTACCAGATTTATGACAATCATTGCGCAATCACCAAAGAGTGTGTGAATGCAAAACGGGAACGTAACCTGTGCCAGCGAGGTCCTTGCATGTGGTTCAACTGCATGAGCATGAGTGCCTTGAGGCCCACCGGGAACTCGCATGTCCCAGAGGGTCTGCAGTGCTTTGGAGTGCGGCGTACTTCGTGCAACGACATGACGGTGAATCGAACGAAATCGCGCTGTTGTGATAATACGATTCGTATGATACGAACGTTGCCGGGTTCGCACGTTTTGTGCTCATTTACCACCGCATCATAATGTGCGTGAAATCCACGATGAAAGAGATCGACTTCTTTTGGTAAGAGCCGCGAACGCAGCGACTCCAGGCCGATTGCACATGCATTATCAAATACTTCCAACTACTGAAACAGCACGTCCACAACGCAAGGCAGTGCCAACGTTGCGTGGCACTGTAATCGAACCAATTTCCCAAGGGGACGGAGCTTTAATCGCTCATCGCCATGTGCAGCTACGAAGACCACTTGTTGTCGAAAGACACACCACATCAGAGCGACGGTGTTAGGATGAACTTCATATGGATACAACCCACTTCGACACACATGTGCCGCCAAGATGTGACTTTTCGAACCGAAGATATCTTTCAAGTTGTGCTTGCTATTCAGGCAGCCATTTCTGGTGAAAACCCCCGCATTTGGAAGTCCCATCCAAAGTGATACAATGTGTCGTAATTTGATACAATGTGTCAATTTGATACAATGATACATGCGATACAGTGACACAATGTGTCGCAAATTGGGGCATCAGTCTGGGTGCTTACATGACCGGCAAGAGGAGTTGAATTACCCAAGTGAACAAAAGGATAGATATAGCCGAGGTGAAATCCGGCGTCTCTGTTGTCTCGTCCGAGGGGAACTCCACGAGAGCCAGCAAGCGGGATGAATAGGTACCTGAAAGTTGCTGGCAGAATCAAATCTGTCTGTTGAACTTAAATGTTGGTTAGTCAGTAATCAATTTGGATTTCAATCAACCAACGAGCCAAGCCACCAGGATTCCGAGTATGTGACACCTTCACATCAAAAATGGACATATTCACCTCAAGTGTGCACAAGTTTGTTCATCGGCACCCCGTGGAAAGGCTCCCACCGCAGGCAATGACCGCTGTATGAAGCATTGAATATTCAAGCGCATGCAACGTTTCTGGGCCACAGAGCTGCAGGTATGCCATTATTTCTGGAGATTACCCAACTGACTGGATTCCAAGGGTGTTGGTATTCAGTCGTGTTGAAAACTGCACCCAAGTTCGCTTGGAAACGGCTAGAGCATCTGTGAATTGCCGTTGTTGGTCAGCGCATAAACTCTTGCTAACGTGATTAATTAAGGACTTCATAACTAATGCTAATCAAGAAACAATATGAGCATGAAACACACCGCATGGACACCACATGACCATTTGTGAATTCTGGTATGGAACAATTGCGAATCAAATCACAGATTACTCCCATGACATCCGACTTTTTCAATGGATAAGATACTGTCCATTCACAGGAGCTGAGCTTTCTACAACATGCTCAGGAGCCATGAGTATTGTTGCAGAGAATGACGGTCGTCATGCCCCCCCGGAGGTACGTCTGCATTCTGCATCCCATGCATTCTTATCTGATCGTTTGTTCTTGCAAATGTGCGATTGTTTCTGTATTTATAGTGCCCAAGCACGCTCGAATGCTGCCAATTCTGGATTGTTTGGAAAAACACAGTGCACACCCTCACCATCCAATGCTGCCTTTAGCCACGAATCTGCTGCCAAGTTGAGTGGCAGGTTGACTCGGCGGATGTTTGGATCGTCAAAGTTTCCTGAGAGTGTATCCGTATCCTTGTGCCAAATGTCCACGTCGAGTTTCGATACGTTGTCAGAGCCCTACAATGAATCCATCAAAAAATTCACATTTCTCGTGCAATCAGGCTCCAGACGTCTGCAGTATGGGTTATTTGTCGGTGCGGGTCCGTTTATGTATGGGTCTCGGACTGGACCGGAACAGTATGGTTGGTTCGGTTGCCGCACTTGCCCCAGGTACGGGTGAGCGGGCCGACTGGTGCGGGCACCCGCACCAGTTGGTCTGGTACTGTACCTAAGGTCTTCACCCCACTATGGCCATACCGAAACCAGACCAAATCGGACCACAAATATGGGCAGGACCGCAAGTCCAGTGGCCCGTACCAGCGGTCCAGTGGACCCGTACCAAGGTGGTCCGGTTTGATCTGACGGCGGGTGCGGGTCCCGGCTGGTGCAGGGGACGGGATCTGGTGCACACCTTTGCCATGCTGGCTCGAATGTTACACACGCACACATGTCTGCTGCAATGTGCGCCAAGGATTGGAGATTCTCACAACAGTTGTCAATCACTAGAATCGCGTCAAAAGCACTGACAAACTGCCAGAAACCCAGTTATCGACCAGCGATCCACCGAGATCGCGCAGGAGCTCCTTTTTTGCGCATACTTTACACTGTGGTGGCCAAATTCATAATCGCTGGTAACATGCAAAAGTCCGGCGCCCTAAGCACCCCAACCCCCCTCCCACCCACCCACAACCGCTTTCTTCCGAGCGAGTGCCAAATTTGGCACCTTTAAAGGTGCACTCCAAGACGCCTGCCCGAAGGATGCCAAATGGGAAATCGCGGCGATCAGTCTGTTGGGTCGTTCGCCACGACAGAATTTCAGACTTGACCTTCCCCTTCCCACAAAAAAAAAACCAACCCCACCCCAACCCCAGTGCCACTCACTCCAATTATAGGGCAACGAGGGATGCCAAAGTGTTACAGCGAGGGCGCCAAGCGTCTCTGAAGTGGGAGGATGCTCCTATCGGCATGTTGGGACAATTGCCGCCAATTCAAATTTAACACCCCCCCACCCCCCACCCCCACCCCCACCCCACCCACCCACCCCACACCCACACACCCACCCACCCACCCACCCACCCACCCACACACACACACACATATGTACACGGATATCTGCATATCTACGTATCTTAGATCGCCGTATACATGTGTACGGCGATGGCACACTTACATCGATGCACATGTGTTGGTGTCCAATAATAGCAATGCGGTAGACACGTATGATGCTTTGCCAAATTTGGGTTTAGGCCCAGGCAGCCGAGGTGACTGCTTTCTCACCTTGAAGTCCCAGGCGTCTATGTACTCTGCCACTCTGTCGTAGTAGTCAAGTAGCCTCCTGCCAAGCCCCTCTTCAAACTCCAGCGATGCATTGCACTTCGCCTGAAGGACATCAGGGCATCGAAATGGACATCTGAGAAGACAGCTCTGAGAATTATCCTCGCCCCAAGACTCGCCGTTGCATTCAATAGATTGAGCTCGGAACTCAATAAAACGTATCAGAAACCTGCTGGAATCTCTGCAACGGGCTTTTGAACACGAACGCCACGTGTGCACTTGCCATCAGCACATATTCTGGTGCTCCCAAGCCATTTTATGCACAGGGTTTTGAGAAAATGAATCAGTCAATTGTCGTGCTCAAAGGGGCTGAACATGCGTCTTGTCTTTTGCGGCAGCGCATGTGAAAATTGGGTAACAATTTGGGTCCGTATCATGGCCGAGATGGCGCATAATTTTGTCCTATTTCCATCCAGGTCCCATCACAGATGCATGGTTTCCAATCAATCCACATCGCCTACAGACAGAAATAAGTCCTCGAAACTGGAAAATGGACAGCAAAGGTGGAGTGTTCCCTCACATCTTCAAAACTGCAGAAGAAATGCCTGTTGATGCGATCCGCTGTGCTCAACACAGGTTGGATGTTAACGCACGCGTCCACGACCGCATTCCCAACTGCCCAAGAATCCAGGTTCTCGAAGGATGACAGCTCGCTTTTCACATCGGCGTCGATGTCCGAGAAGCTTGCAGCCACCCCGCACTTCTGATTGAGGGTGTAGAGTGTGGCGCCCCTCTAGAGAACACAAGGCGCACGAAATATTGCCTCGCATTAGTCCCAGCTCTCACCAACAAGGTTGCCAAAAATAGAGTCTCTTCACAGGATGCAGCGTTTGATGAGGAGTTGATCCGGCCAGTAAGTGCACCACCTTTATTGAATATGTTTTACAAACATCAGTTGGAGCAGAAATCGCCTGCCCAAGACTGCAATGGGACAACATGTGAGATTGCTTGGGCCCTCAGATACTGTTCGTCTTGGAAGTTGCAGGATCCAAGAACGATGAAGAAACGCACAAAACCCGATGCACAACTTGGCAGCATGCTGACAGATGCATTGTATCAAGTATTGAATGCTCACATGATAGCAGGGTGGTTTTGGTCGTTTCAAAATCAGCATCGTCAAAATTGCTCTCAGAGCACTCTCTCTTTGCAATAACACCATGGTGACACTACAGCAAATGGATAGAGCATCGCTAAGAACACTAGCACAAAAAAGGACCAAATAACACTTTTGCGAACACACATAAAACACATTTCATCAAAGTTCTGCCCACTAAGAACACAAAAATTACCCAAACATGTAAACTTTGTGCGGATTGAAGCACGTGTTTTTTGGACCTTTTCCTAGTGGAAGAACGTACGCACAGCACTCCCTATCTTGCAGAAGGCGTGTGCCCCCCTTGGCTTTGCGTTACTGCCAGAAATTGTGCTGTGATTGCCTGTCGAAAAATGTTGAGCAAAAGTCAAAGCAGATAATAGGCAATTTCTACTCACGTGGATTGAGAACGCACGATCGATTTGGTGGTGCTGCTCAGGAGACTCGTTGGTCCCAAAGACGAACCCCTGACGTGTCAGCATCTCCCCACGGAACACGCCCTTGTTCATTCAGAAACATAAGTGGATAACGTCAGCAAAACAAAAGGAGTCCAGCCAGCGCTGTAGTTGGTGCCAAATTCACATCGAATCAATGTGTTGCATCTTTCACAAATCAGTTAATGTATGCCCAGCAAATGGGCACAATACGTTTTCAAAGCGATTGCTGGGCAGGAGGCCAAATATTGAAAGTATTGCTTTCAATATTGCCAGTATTGCATTTCCAGAATCTGCTCTTAAACGCTTCTAGCTTTGCCTCCAGCACAATATGTTTCACCCTAACCGCGATGGACTTCCAAATCCACACTGAAGCCTAGCTTTCCGTTGTCCCAACAAAACCTCACAGTCGACCTTGACATCATTCACAAAAATAGACAATTTTGTTAAGAAAATCAATGCCAGTTGAGGTGGAGTTGCCGCATAGATCGGCTAGCGCCAAAATATGGTGATTAATGGGCCTCAAATCATCGATAATGGTGTACGCAAGTCGGATGCCATTTTTCCTGTGTATTTTCTCCCGGTATTGCGTGCGTACTCGCACCCCCTTGTTGGCGCATCCTTGCTGTGTTGCCAGAAAATCTCGCTTCGTGGGTATTTGCAGCTGGTTTTACTTGGATGTTCACTGCTCGCATTCTACTTTTACATGTCAGGGTTTGGGGTCGGGATTGGACATGAATATAGGTTATAAACGCACCAGAACTTTCTTCCAACGCGTCGCAAGCACGTGCAGAAGAAAACCTAGATGTGACTGTTCATTGAGAAAAAGGCACCATGGGCCTACAACACGGGATGCAAACACACAGCACTCTGACGAAATTTCCACCAATTTGGGTGCCATCTATCACAGCCAAAACCCAGCCGCCGTTGTGCCCCCCCACCTGATCTCTGGCCATCTCCGCAAATTTGTTTTCAGCAAAATCGGCAGAAAAGTTGCCTGAAAACATGAGTCCAGCAACGGTGCTTGCCAGCTCTGCATCCTGACCTGCGTAGAACATCACTGCGTCTGGAGCCCAAGGCTCCGCCCGAAGTCTGGCAGGGGGGGTCTGGGCACAGCACACTGAAACTTCATTGACACAATGCTGGGACACATTCGCTGCTCTTAGCTTGGCCACTGTGAAAGGACAGGGCAGTGTCTAAGTTTGATGGTGTTGGCCTGCCATATTGCGAAACCGTTGGCGTTTTTGTTGCAAAAGTATGAAAAAACACAAATTAAATACTCACAATAAGAGTGACTAGAATACATTGCCAGGCATTTTTTGGGGTGTTACTATCTGCGCAGCAACAATGGATCCAAGTTGAGCGGTTCGCCGATGGCTTTCCATACGGTTGTGTGTTGCCCGTGGAGGGCGAAACAATAACTTCAACCTCGAAGGGTATCAACATATTGGAACTTCCATTTTCAGCCCTATTTCAAAGCGCTAAAATTCTGTCACATTTTACTTGATACATCTCATCCCATGAAACTGGGGCTGATACTCTAAATTTCAATGAGCTGATAAGCTGGTTTGAGCAATTAAGCGAGATGCAAGCATCAGCTATGAGGAGAATCATGCTTTCCACAGCAAGGTCCTCCCAGGCATGATCAAGACCGTTGCCAGATGTATTGCAGGATGGGTGTACCAATTAAACAACCTCTGCTCCAAGCTTTCTCTGTTCACACACTCCATGTGTCCATATGTGTTCCAACATAGTCAACGCCATTTTCACCACGTCTAACACAATGTGTTAGGGATTGCACATGTATACATATTTTCTCCTCGCTCTCACCGCTAGCAGAAAAATTGCCAAATAACACTTTTGCGAATACACATAAAAACATTTCATCAAAGTTCCGCATGCTAAGAACACAAAAATAACACAAACCCGTAAACTTTGTACACGTTTGAACACGTGTTATTTGGCCCTTTTTTCCCTAGTGGACATTAGTGGTATAAACACTGATATGGTAAGTGTCGATACAAGCCTGCATGTGCACCTTTGAGTGCAGCCCTCCAGATGGCCTGCACGCACCTGAATGGCGGGAGGCCAGCTCGTGGGATGCTCAATTTTGCACAGATGTGCCTGCGATAGTGTCGAGAATTGCAGGCCGCATTCCTTCGACATGCACACCTCGATATCGCTGCACAGTGTGTCCTGAAGCGCTGATCCGAAGCGGCAGTTCGTAATATTGGCGTTGTTACAGCAAAGGCACCTGCAGCCACACTTCAGCAGAGCAAGGGTTGCCGATTCAGCATCACGGCCAGAAAAGGGGTGCGTGGTGCTGCATAATGACGTTTCAAGCTCTGCGGTGAACGTGAATTTTTGTGGCGAATGCTGAAGCGGACTGCAGCACAATCCACCAAAATCTAAGTACGCACACGATGAATCGGCCAGCGATTCTGGCCACATAATTGATATTATCAGTCATGGGCAAGTGCGCGCAAATCCTTTACAATTACATTCGCCAAAGATATTTGTCTTTTGCTTGAAGCAAAAGCCTTTGCACTGTAGACTAGCAGTGTCGGGCATTGATGCCACACACATGCTTTGTTCTAAATCACAGTGTTTGTTCACGAACGCAGCTTGTCAGCCCAAGGAGCAACCAGCAAACCGAGTCCAAAGAGAGAGAAGGGGAGCACCCCATAGCCAACCCCAACCTCTGAATCTCATGGGCGGCCCTCCCCCCCTCATGTACAGCCATGGGTATGTCGCTGAATGAAATAGAGAGCGAAAATTGCGATGAAATGAAGTGAGAACGGAAAATGAAACCAATGCAAGAGAGGATGTCCCAAGTTTAAAAGCCCCAAGGTGCCCCACCCAGCACCTCATTCCAGCATCTTCTCACATTAGGAACAAAATGCGCCAGTTTCTTGAGGCACTTGGGGACAAGCGCAGGCAAAGCCCAGTCGATCTGCGGGCCGTCCCGGTGCCATGCTGTCTTTTAGTACTAAACATTAACTTTTCGGACAAATAGCCATGGGTGATAGTCAATGCTGTGTATCTAATGGAAGATTCCAGCATCCACCACGAGAATTTGCAAGATAGCGCAATTGTTGGCCACCCCGTGTTCTCCAAATGTTGAATTCTTGGAGCAAAACAAATGCAAGCCTACCGAATTCATCCATTTTAAAACGCAATCGCCATGCAATCGCGAAAATGGGCGCACAGCGCTGGCAACAATTGACAGCAGGGCGACGGACAAAGCTGCACGATTTGCTTCATTAATGACGCAGCCCAACTTTCAATACGTGAACATGACAGAATCTATGCACAGATACAAGTTACGCAGATTCCTAAAATAACTGATTTATCTGAATCAAAGCTGACAGACTAACAATTTACACCAGGAAAAAAGGGCCAAATAACACTTTGCGAACACACATAAAACACATTTCATCAAAGTTCTGCACGCTGAGAATAACAAAATAACACAAACCCGTAAGCTTTGCACACATTCGAACACGTGTTATTTGGCCCTTTTTTTCCTGGTGATTACACCTAGCCATACTTATTGAGCATTCACTTGCAACGCCGGCGCTTTTAATGAGTGTCAGATGCCCTGTCTTGTCGCCACCTGCGGGCTTAGAGCTGCGGTCAATCGGCGTTGCAGCTGAATGCACAATAAGTATTGCTTGGTGCAAATTGCTGTTGCACACAAATCCATGTCCACAGGGTCATTTGGCAAAGTTGCTTGCCTTGTAGTCGTCTTCGGGTACTAAGTCTTCCAATCTCTTAATCCCGTACATCATGCCGATGAACAGGAGCGGCGTGAGGATGATGCATGCGTTGAGGCAGCATCGGCGCTTCTGGTACACCACGTTCTTATGGAGCAAAGCAGCGCTCTGCTGCTTCAGGCTGGATGCCGGCTAGGATCAAAGTGGCACGCCGCAAACAAACAATCATTCAGATCGCTTGGATGGACAAGGAGCTTTCCAATCAAGACAACCATGCATATATGCACAATGTGGATGCACATACCGTATTTACCCGGTATTAGTAGACATGTATTGGACCTTTCAAATGAGCTGTGGATACTAGTAGTGGGTCATGTATAGTAACGAGGTTTGGATCCATGATCCCAAAGGGTAGACAAAGGAGATTTTTGACAAATAGGCCTGAAACGCCCAGAAACGGGCAAAAATGGCGATGCTAGTGCGGAATGTTGTCAGCGTTTTCACAGGAGCTGGAAGCCTTGACTTGGGGCTGCACCAGGTGGTGGCGACTGGCGATTGGGCCCGACAGGGGTTCACTGGAATGCTCGAGGTGCGGCTGCCTCTGCAATGCAAAGAACGAGGCCTGCCATGGGTCTCGACTCACTGGGGCGCCATGTCGCACCGATGCTTGACATGCGGCGTTTCCCTCGCTGATGGTGGCTGGGAAGGCTGAAGGGATCTGTTATTGGGTCTGTGGCCTGGCAGCCAGCGTGATGTGTTTTGCCCCGCATCCACAGCATTTTGGGGGCAGTTTTGCAAAGCGGGGTCTCACAATGGCAGCTGCCCCGACAAACGCCGTCGCCTGCCCATTCCTGGCGCTGGGCCTTGGGGCGCCCTTGGCAGGCGCCAGGCCGGAACCTGCTCTGGCCGGCCGGGGAGCAGGCTGGCTCAATCCAGAAATCAGGGCGGCTTTGAATTCTCGACCGCTTCTTGGATTGGTCCTTGCAGCGTCGGTCGCTGCCCTGCGATCCTGGGCTGAGAGAGCCAACGGCGGCCAGTCGACCACGCGTCCTTTCGCGGGCACCCTTCCAAATTCTCCCTTGACAGCATCCACCCCGACCCGATCGTCCCTGTCGATGTGAGAATCACATTGGCAGGGAACACGGTTTGGTCCAGACAGGGCAACGAGGTCCAACACCAGCCCCCGACTTCCCTTGCCACTATCCACACCTTCGCCCATTTCTGTTGAGGTTTGGGGGTGGATACTAACACCAGGTCATGGATACTAACCCGGCTTCGAACCCCAAAGAGGGGGGTGGACACTAACAGGGGGTGCCTACTAATGCCAGGTAAATACATTATTCTTATGGCATGCAAGCAATTTAGGTGGCGTACACACGTGAATGTTGTTCCTCAGGGAACGAGCATTTGGACGTGCAATGCGATTCTGCCTTTAGATTTATGATTGGCCACTCTCCTGTTTTTTGAAGCCAGACCAGCATTGGCCACATAGCAGGCGACCAGCAGTTGCAAGCTTACATTTGTTCAAGCAAGCACTGATAGCTCTTCATGGCGATGAAAAGCTATCGGGACCTGCTAAAATGATGGTTTTCTTATTATATATATTTAATTATGGTAGAAACCAAATATTTGTTCCACCATCGATGTGCATGTCCTGGTGCAAGCGCTAAGGGAACATCCACTGCTCTGTGCCATTGCAGCAGAAGTCCATCGCAGTAAAAGCAGGCACCAAGATCACCGATAATTTGCAGCTCTGGCACCACTCAATTCCGTTGCAGCACATTTCGCATCAAATACAGTCAGGCTTGGTTTTTACGCCGTAAAAGTGATCGTATTTACGTTTTCAAACGTAAAAATAGTTTTTACGTTTTTTGGCGTAAAAATGCGTAAACGCAACGTAAAAACTGCCCGGTGTAGATAAGGACAGTACATGCAGACTTACGGAATCCGGAGAGTGGCAGCCAGATGCTCTGGAAGGGGCAGAAAACGAGTTTTCGTTAAACGCCATTATCACCCTTGCCAAGGGAGAGGTGGGCATTGTGTTGCGGGTGCGGAGATGGTGGAGGACTGATTATAATATTCGACTTTTATCGTGTAACCTGGGTGTCCCAGGGAGCCGTAAACACTTAAAAATGGCCGTAAAAATAGGCCCTTTTGCAAATTTGCGTTTTTACGCATGAAAACGTAAAAGTAGAAACGTAAACGTAACACCCGAGCCTGAACACAATCAAAATTTTAACTACCACTAATACGACATTTACCACTAATGATTGAAGTCACAAAATGTTCACAATCAATGAATAACAATTTCTGATTTTTACCTGTAATTGCACTATTTTCAG